TGAGATATTATGTTGTACATACAAGATAGTTAAACAGTTCCAACAATTTATATAATAACAAAATTATTGAATGGGTTTAGTCGATTATACATAATATTGTCAGCCGAAAAAAACTTAATCGTTCTTGTATAATGATATGATTAATATCGCCCGGGCGGTTAAGAAGGTTATAATAAAAAGTATTAATTTTCAGATCATCTATAACGAGCGGTCAATAATATAATTATGCAACTTATGCTAGTATATTTCCGCCGAGCGTTGAAAGTTGCAACTTGGGGTTGTGCGGAGGTGGTAAAATAAAAATAATAAACACTTTAGGGTCAAGATACAAAGTAGACGAGCGTAGCGATGCATACAAATATTGTTTTAATAAAGAAAATATAGTAAAAATATCAGATAACGGAAACTCACAATATTTGCTAGGATGCCGTATGGGATGTGTGGGGCGTGGCCCCAGATTTTTTTTTATACAAGCTCCGTGCATTATTTGATGCATTTTAAAATGTTAATATGTTCCCATTCCCGGCCGATCAGACCATTTCGGGCCGGCCCGGAAAAGGTCAGTCCGCCGCCAAAACGGGGGCCAGGGCCGGGTGTGCCCCCCCCCCCCTAAATCCGCGCCTGTACCTATCCTCGATATCCAGGGGTTACGCTCCCTTTCGCTCTCTGCACCCCTGGAATATGTCATAGCAAAATTGAAGGCACGAAGATGGCTGTTTGATTGGTCGCGTGTAAAAAAAACCTGACCAATCGTTGCGCTGATACCTATCCTTTAAAGACTACAAAGGAGCGACACTCGACTTCAAAGCCTGACATTTTTATCGTTACGCGACCGCGAGATTCTTTTGATGTACATGTAAGGATCGAACTAGTTTTCTTGTCTCATCAACAAGGTGGTACACACTAAGCCTTTAGTTTTGCTATGACATATTCCAGGGGTGCAGAGAGCGAAGAGAGCGAAAGTGAGCGAAACCCCTGGATATCGAGGATGGGATATACCAAAGGGTAGTTGTTAGGGGAATGGCAACAACTGGTTCACCCGTGTGACCGGGTGGAATACTGTGCTGGGTGCCTTCGCCGGCATAGTATGTCTGTACGTGAGATAGCGCTATAAAGTCAGCATCGGATCCACGCTATCGCAGGGAGGCAAATGCACCAACAAATCCTACCTCCATCACACAAAGATAACACACATGAATGTACGTCCTTAAACGACCTTACTTAGCTGTTAACAGGGCGTTAAACCCTGGAAAGTCTAACAAACAAGCAATGTAACGATTTCGTGCTGTATTGTTTATGAGTTTTATGAGCGGATCGATCTAAAAATAATACAAACAAATAATAACACAGCCGTTTGTTCTGCATTGGGTCATCTAGTGTATTCCACAAGTTCTACAACACTAAATACTAACGGTAAATTGCTTTGTTTGAATTTTAGATGAAATATCAATGCCGTTGCTGACTGGCGAATGGACCATTAAATATGAGTCTAATTTGATCCACTTAAAAAATTCTCCTGTGTCAATTAAATACAAATGCAACAAATATGTCTAATTTTATCGCCGTGCACAGTGTTATTTTGTGACAATAAATAAAAGCTTAACAAATGTGTATTAAAGTTAATCCACACCCTCATTACTCCAGGGGTTGCGCTTAAAATTGTTTTCTGAACAGCGAGTGAAACCCTGGGATATCGATGGTGGTTACTTCATCGTACATCATGTATTGACTTAGACTGACGTTTATATTACTTTGTGCCAAATCAAAAGTAAACAAAATTTGCCCCCTTTTAGACTAGGCTAAAAAGCTGAAAGATACCATTGTGTTTCGCTTAAACTAGAATGATTCTATAACATTTAATCTATTTTCTACCTTTTGGTGAGAACTTACATTGTTTAAGTTTAGTGAGCGAGGTTGTGCTAACAGGTTCTATAACTGATTAATGGTAATAGATAGGGACAATGGATAATTTGATCACATCCTGATATAGTATTTATACCAACTTGGTGTGTATTTAATCCTCTTAGACTATTACCAGGGATAATGTATAACCAACCCTCTGCGCAGTGGATAGCACACTCACCTTTCACCAAGGCGGCCGGGGTTCGATTCCCAGATCGCACATGAAAAGGTATGGGGTGATCACCTCCCAACCATGAAGGTTTTTTTTCGGGCACTCCAGTGTCCTTATACATGAAGATTAACCGCACACTAACACCCTGGCTAACAAGAGTGATTAATATCAGTTGAGAGAACATGAAAAATAGTTTATATATTATATACCAACCCCCTTCAGTCCTCAGTCCTCACCGCCTACATTAAATGTATTAACCTTATTTCTAGTCCTTCTTTTGTTACCCCTGACTATATTTAATATATAAATCTAGTCTCCCAACTGTAAACTAACTACATTTAATGTATAAAATTGATATCTATATTTCAATAGTTCATAATGAAATTTAAGGGGTGAATGAGTTAATGTATAAAACTGATTTCTAGGTCTACCAATGCTATCAGGAACTACACAAAGGATATATGCATTTGTCTCCATAACTACCTAGGTAGTTTAACAGCTAATCAGATCCACTTCATCATAACGATGTTCCATCAAATATGATTTGTAGTTCTGTAGTTGATGACAGATGGAATACAGAATGGACTCCTACCTCACATTTACGCTACGTCGGCTACCAAACTAAATAAAAAATTATAACACAGAACACGATTAGAAAGTGTCATTTTTATTTCTATTTCGCAAATCATTTCATAATATTAAACATAAACATGAAGCTGCTTTTATCATCCATGTACCAGAGTTAGACATATGTTGAAAATAAATTAAATATCTTATCAATAATTACAATTTTTCTATCAATAATTATATCTAATATCTTTGTACTGCTGACAGTAGCAATGTCATGTATTACATCTTATTGTTGTGAGGATGTGTTATGACGAAAACATAGATGAAATACTGAGGTGATGAAAGCTCAAACTTCAAAACTGTGTCAAGTGACTCTAGTATCTCGGCCATGTTGTTCAAATATGATTACCTTAACAAGTTAACACAAAGTGTTAAACCAAAAGATTTCCAGAAATATTGAAATTCAAATAAAAGTTGTATGTGTTACGATTCATTAAAAAGATAATCTAATAACAATACACACAAACTTATATAGAACTTCTGAAATTGCTAAAGGTCAAAGGTAAACTGAGTGCTCACAATATATTTCATCCTGATATTTAGTAACACAGACTAATCACCCTGTAAATGTGTACCCTTGCAAAAATGTTACTTCATTATTCAAACTTATCCCTTTTAAACGGACTGCAGTATCAAAAACAATTGTTTCTCTGAATATCTCTGTACACATGAGAAATATTACCATCCATTTCCGTAGATCCCAGATGATGATGATGTGGGAACATGCATTACAGCCATGTACATAGTACTTATATATGTATGGAAACAGGAAATATCTGGAATTTATAACACAACACCCTCTCCTACCAACCACAACTGATTATAACATACAATATTTTAAACTGCCTGAAACCCTCTATCCCAGCCAGACACATACACACAAATTCCTCTCACTCAACAAATGCTTAGTCAGCAAAAGTTCACCCAGCCTTTTATCTCTTCCTATATCTCCTTATCTCTCCCTCCTCCACACACATACCCCTCCTACCCCCTGCCCATCGATCAGGCTCTAGACCAATGTGTTTCGTAGTTGGAGCATAGAGTAAATATATGGTGATACTATAGAGAACCACACTTTTTTGTGAAAGACCAGCAGTGGCCTGTGCAAGATGTCAAACCAGGGACAGTTTACTGCAAGTTTAATAACAGTGACATATCTCCAGCTGAGTCCACACACTGTGACATACCTCTAGCAAAGTCAAGTAACAAGTGACCACAGTTTTTTGACAACTGTGAAATACTTAATGTACCTCAAAGAATAAAGAAGAAAATATCCTCTTCCTTGAAAAATCTATGACATTTTAAATAATTCTTGAATCATACAACCAGCCTGAATTGCAACAAATTCAAATGGATTTAGTCTAAAATTTTGTGGCAATGGAAGGGGGGGAAATCAAGTTAACATAATCACAGTTGATTGGTCCAGAAGTGTTTATGCATTTAGACTGAATATAGAGTATCCTGATCAACTGGACTTCAGATCGATGACATCCACTGGCTAGCTTGATCCTGACAGAGTTATCATGGTGTAAACAACAAATAGTCCTATATTAACATAAAGTCTGGGTCAGTTGTCCGCTCCTTCTGCTTGCTTTTCTTTATGTGTCACTACACCTTTGCTGATCAAGTCGGGGATTTCTACCGCTAGCCACGGCCCAAGCTGGAAATTTCAAATGTCAACTTAAACATGCATATTTACAAATCAAGCTAAAAATTACAGGTGATTTAGATCAAGATGTTTCATTCTGCATTGTCAACAGCTCATCTTTTTCTTTTGCTTCACAGATTAAAAATTGTCTTCTCTTGAAAACAGTTTTACTTGTTTTGTCTACAGCATTCACTGTTACCAGTAACCTATTTGCATCTCTCTGAAGTATTTATGTTTGAGAAATCACGAAACAATGAATGACCTTCTCAATCTAAAATAAATATACTGCGCGCACAATGTACAAATGTTACAGAAAGAAAACTTACTCCTAAAGCCATAGCATGAGCAATCCCAAACTTGGACACATTTCTGGCCCAAAGTGGTTTAAAGTGGTCAGTCAGGCAAATTTTCCCTCCTCTGGAAAAATATATTCGAAAAAATACTGAATATTACATAGATATGCACACTGAAAACCTGAAAGGTATCAACATTCTGTGCAGGCTATATCACAGATTTAATTTTTAAAATTTCATAACATCAAAAATACTGACTCAAAATCTTGAATGGCATTCTCCCAGTCAAACTGCCAGGTTGTTCCAATAAACCAATCACCATGTGACATCTTACCACAAAGACACTAGACGTGATATTTTATATCAAATATTTTTAATATTTTATTTTCATGGTTAAAACGATATTTTCATAATGCTAAGAACTGTTTATTAAATGTCCCTTTTTAGATGTGTTTGACTACTTTTACATTTAACTTTCCCCTTCATAAAATTGCCTAGGTATACAATTTTTATGGTAAATGTACAAACATTTTTACCTATACATTTTTGCAGTTTTACCATCCAGTTCTGGCAGTGCTATCTCTGGGGCAGTTGTGGGATACGTGACTGGTATCTGAAATATATTTATGAAAATATTTTAACATAAGTAATACTTGGAACTGCAACAGATATCTTTATCAAACACACATTAGTGATCAGTAAACTCTACTTCTAATGGGCATCAGACTGCAACATTCCTTTTCTACTTTCCCTTGTTTGTCATAGATTGTGGTGAATTTTTAGATAAATTTGTGTAAATAACTTGGGTCAGGGACGTATAATGGAGCTGTCCCTGCTTGGGTGTACCCCCTCCCCTGATTAACTGAGAGGGGATGGTTATAGAGTGAATTGCTTTGTTCATTTGTGGAAATTATGTTTAGCTCAATCAGTGGGCATCAGACTTGGAAGCAGATCCTCAGAACAAGCAAACTACATTCAATTTTAGTTCAATACAAAAGTTTCAATTAACACTGTAAACTTACGTCAAATTCCACATCAAACTCGTATCTGAGAAGCTCGTGGATGTACCAACAGCGACCAAACCAACGCGTGCCCTCTTTGTTGGATTCCAGACGGAACCAGTCATTGTCAGATTCCTTGTTGTTCTGAACATACTGAAAAAAATAGGCATTTTGATAAATGATAATGCATCTTCAGATATTTTTTAGGCTATTTTGGGTAATGGTCGCTCTGTCAAGTTTTCACAAAAAGTTAGACATCAGAATTGATATTTTTTTGTGCACAAATGTATTTCATTGTGTTATTTATTTGATTTAGTTGACAGAATGACACCCTTTTTTGCTCTAAATGTTTAAAAGAACTTTGTGTGTTTTTATTTCACTTTATTCCCCATTTCAGTAATAAAATTGTTACTCAAATGCAGGATTATTACCCATATGCGCCGTTGTCCCCAACCTGTTAAGGGTTAAACCTTGAAATACAGGCAGGGATCAATTTAGACTTGATTCACTACCGTTTATGGGTAGTTTCCCTTACAGAAAAAAAATCCCCTTTTCTTTGAAATTCCCAGTGTGCTTCAAAACTCCCTTATTTCAACAAGAAAATAGCTGTTTTTCTTCAAAATATTTCCCCTATATATGTTTTCTTTAAAGTTCAACAGTTAAAATCCATAATACTACATACATACATTTCCTCCACATAATTTTAAAAAGAAATCTTCAATTTTAAGCTTAAAATTGTTTAGAAATTGAAATATATTGCACACATGTATGTCAGACAAAACGTTTATCTTTTACCTTCATGACGCTAGAGCCTTGTATCAAGATTTTAATTTCCCCCAAATCTGAAAAAGGGTAATTTCCCCTAAAACCTAGATTGATCCCTGACAGGTAAACCGATTGAAAACACTGATCCTGAGTGTCATCATCTCTCAGTGAATTCACTAGAGAAAGAAAATTGAATGTGTATGTACCTTTGTAGGAGTTACCTGTAATCAATTAATCACCTACAAATATTGTGTGGTCACTTATATGTAAGGTGTTGTTTTTTTACATGGACTGCCCAGTTGTCCAGTGATAATGAGTTCATTTAAGCTTGCATAACAGCGTTGGGTTATAAGTAATTTCAACATGATGTGATGTCTGTAACATACGCGCCGGTTCAGTGTTCTATTACCTGATTACTGTCAATGGTGCAACTGTCAAGTTACCATATTGTTGATCCTAACTTTTGATCTTGTTATATATACATATCTAGTACGTTTCAAGATACCTTTATCAATGACATATATTCCTCTTTAAGTCGTTGAACCCATAGCTCACCATCCCGAGGTCCTGCCTTCGTTTTTAGCAAAGGAATCTTCGCGAGAGTACGTTTCGTGGCCTCGTCAACCATGTTTCCATTAACTCGTGCTCAGTTTGACGCTTCGTTCTACACCTTTCCTTTACAAGCGTTGAGCTGACGTAAACTAATCAAATAATAAAAAAGCGAGCTAATAAAATTTCCGGAATGAAGAAAGAGGCACATACGTCCTGTATAAATATAGACAGATTTTTCTTTTCATATTGCCAAATTTGGTAATTTCTATACTTTTTATATAGGTTTTGGGTTCGTTTCTTTAAGTTATATATAAATATAGATTTAAGTACCAGGTAATACATTCTTCTGTAGTGATGATGCATGGAAACCAAGTGACTTTGTCTCATTGCAACTTACAGGGGTCTTTATTATTTCAGTTGGTGAACACTATCACTTTCCCTGATTACTGTAAATCAGTTAGATTTCTGAGATAAATATTTTTAACTAATGGGTAAAATCTATTTGTTAAAATCCTGTCACTGTAAATAAGAGGAACAAATGAATTCAGATTTAAAACAGCTCAGAAGAAATTAATTTGATCAAATCTTCATTTGACTTTTCCGCTCTGTACACTCTATTATAATATTCCATTCCCATATCATACCGCACCGTAACTCACCGTTGTCGACGTCATACCATTAGTCTTCGACTACTACTGACGCTTCTACTAATTCTACTGGTAAAAATGGAAACAAACTGTACCATTCTCCTGGTTGATCTGTTTATTGGTTTTCATGGGGTTGGATTCATGAAGAGCTTACCGGATCTGGGAAAAACAAATTTGCCAACTCCCCAAATGTCACCGTTTGATATATAGATGATGTGTTATAGTTACAGAGTTTAGTTGTGTTTACTGCGTCATAATTTTCTTAACCTTTCCTTTCTTGATTGTAACATCATCCAATAAGAGTGTTTATATTTAATAATTTCCTTAACCTTCCCTTTCTTGATTGTAACATCATCCAATAAGAGTGTTTATATTTAACGTCCTATTAACAGCTATGGTCATTTAAGGAAGTGCCAAATTGGTGGGGGAAAGCCGGAGTTCCCAGAGAAAAAAAAACCCAACCTATGGCCAGTACCTGGCAACTGCCCAAAAGTAGGCCTCGGACCCAAGACCCAGTGTTGGAGGGCTAGTGGTAGCAGAATGTCAGGGACCTTAACCACTTGGCCCCTGCTGATTAAGCAGATTTTTTTTATATATAACACCTGGTCTTTAATTCTCCTTGTACATTTTTGAGTCTCCATGTAAATCTGCCATTTGTCCTTTTTTCATTTTGAGGTCAAATTACAGTTTGGTTCAAACTTTGGTGTCTTCTTGTTTTTATTACCCTGTAGCATCGAAGCAGTCAAAGAAGAAAAGACAACCAATAATGGTCAATTCAACAATTATCTGTTCAAATATGAAACCTGGGGCGGTATATTCCGTCTTTTTGTATTGCAGAGTTATCTGCTCTTGTGAGCAGGTATTGATTGTTACATCATTAGTTTGTGTGAGAAAATTACATCGTTTTCTCAAAAATTCATGACGTTACTCTCACAAACAAATGACGTAACAATCAATACCTGCTCACAAGAGCAGATAACTCTGCAATACGAAAAGAGGGAATTGTACAAGACCTAGTATTGATATACAGTAGTGGTCTGTCAAAACTGAGAACAAAAATCAGTAACTGGTACGACTCGCTCCAGACAATTAATTGGTATGGTGAATAAAGGTGTAGTACCGACGCTCCAGATAAACTTTGGTATAAAAAATGAACAAAGGGTCATAACTCTATATATTGGGGCACGAGTCCAATTTTCAGTCCACTATCCCAAGATACACAATACTGAATGAGACCCCACTTAAAGCCCAGTGCAATATTTATGTTTTCACAGTGTGTCAATATAACTACATGCAACCAGCTTTGATGAAACATTAAAGCCATCTTTTTCATTTTTTTCCAATAAAATGCAAATTTTTACTGCAAGAAATAAAACATGAGAAGTTGTCTCTTTATTGCATTTATTATCATTCAGTCAGCACTAGTGTTACACACAGTTAGTCACATCCTTACTACAATCGTTACATACACACTGAACAAATAACATACTACTGAATAATATACATTGTTCTTCCTATACATTGATGGATGTATACAGTAAATAAGTGTGCAGAATATAACCTTGTGCTTTTAATGCAGTTCAGTATGTCTGATTTTCTCCCAGCTTCTCCATGTAAGTTTAACTTAATATCAAAGATTGATACAGCAGCTTTATCAATGTTCTGTCAATGATGTACATGTAAATTTTGTTTGATCAAAATGAAAAACACATTCAACGCCTTATCGATGTAAACATGATCCTTTCCGCATGGTAAAGTCTATTCTTAAAATCACATTTCTAGAAAGAGTTTATCTTTCCTAGAACAAATCTAACATCACTCCTGCATGAAAACTTTTCTATTTAAAATTATTTTGAGGTTTCTGCCGATACCACTTTTTCAGGTGAAGCTTCTTCAAGTTCCTTGTAATGGTGAGCGTTTTTATCCATGCAACTTTTCACTGCATGAAATGGCTCGAGACATGCATCCGACTTTTCCTCATTGTCCATGTTGTCATGGATACACTGGAAGAAGTCTCGCATCTCGACACCACACCTGCTGGCAACCATGCTTCCTCGACAGGCACACTCCCAATTCAGACTATTATTTTCATCAACAAATCCTGTTAAAAAAGATATGAAAAAAAAAAGTAAAATGTTCATGAGAAAAGTTTTCCATCAAATTAAGATCTATTCAGCATTTCTGGAAGATTAGTCTTTGCAAAGTTACTCCTATATGCTACTGATAGAAAACTGCATCCATTCACTCCAAGATACTATTATCTTATGAAGCTAAAACATATCTTGTCATCCTTTAGATGTGGATTTTCCCCCATTTTGTATAGGGATGAGTTGTATCAATATAAAATACTTGTACCATAGCATCAACATTAAAAAAATGGATTCCTGAACGTCAGGGATTCAATTAAGTTGAAGAGAATTTTTGGCATAGTTGCTCTCATTTCCCTCTATCAATGTTTTTTTTAAACAAATATTTTTTTTTCATTGATGCTTCATACACAAAACTGTTCAGTTTAAGACGTATGGATAAACAAGAGACTCCAGCTTCAAGATTCTGCTTAAGCTTACACAATTCTTTAGCATTTTATGGGTGATTCGTCTCAAAGAGTTATCTTCCTTTAATTTAATCACACTGCATAATAAATCACCAGTATATATATATTTTAAAAATGAAATTAAATACCCTAATCAAAGATGATCATGACATGTTTCATAAATATAAATCTTAGTACTATCATATAAAAAGGACTTTTAATGGATTTCTAACCGTGAATCACTTTTGAAAAGGAGATAAATTTACCACCATGTTAAGTAACATATATGTATATACCTATATGTCCGTATTTTCACAATAATACCGTTTAAAATGCAATCTTCAATTATTTTGGAAATGAAAATAGGTTATCAAGACAAAAAACCAGTTGATAACATTTACCAGGGTATTCTGCAATGTTTGAATTTCACTGTTCACAGTTGAGTAAGTATATGTTGTGCTGTGTACACATATAATTATATTAGCCACCACGATATATTTGTCCTCAGATAGTTAAAGTTACAAACTAACATTTCCAGGTATTTATAATGCATACAATTAACTGTTTTGATATGGCAAACACTTGATCTATTCAAATGTTTTACAGATCAGTAAGACAAGAAAGAAACACACACAACAGCATGTTGATTTAAATACCATTTATTCAGGTAGTGACAAGACATTACCCGGAACCCTTCACCTGTTAGAATCAGACTCTAACACAGATGCTATCTAATTCATTGTAATACAATTCCATGTTTTTTGTCCCCTTTTAACTATAATTATTTCAATCTCTCTATCAACATGAACTTTGAGTACCATTATTGTTAGTCCGAATTATTCTGACATTTTATCAACTTTTTTTTATATCGTTCTGGCATACGTCAGAATAATTCGGACTATATTATTGTGTGCAGGGATCTACACAAGTAATATCCTACTTACACCATATTTTAATTTCTAGTTGTTGTAGAACTGTAATGTTAGTACAACACTACTTCAGTAAGGTCTACCGTGTCCAATAAATGGTTTTATGTGTATTTTTGTTTCATTCTTTTAAGTTCCTATAAACCACATACAATTTTCTTATCTTCCTTTCTATGTATGAACCTTCAGTTCTATATTGATGAATGATTCTGACAAAATAGCATTGATTATCAGAACAATCATTTTCTCAAATGTTGTTATCTGATCGTTGACCTATCATTTTCTCAGAGGAAGGACTATTTAAAAAAGTTATCACCAATAACCCAAAGGTTACCATACCCATGGAGTTTTTGTTTAAAGACAAGGAAAACAATCTGCAGCACCTGTATATTTTTTCTCTACAAGGACAAATCTCAAGCCAACACTGACCACTGGTTGCAAAAAATATCATGCTTATCTGCAATATGGCCTTGCTTGGTAATAAACTCGCCAAATATGTATCTCAGTTCAGTAAATGTTATTTCATTGTCTTGTATTAAGCCCAACCCTATACCAGGTCCTAGATCATGTGATATCGCCATTGTCTTGTATTATGCCCATCCCTATACCAGGTCCTAGATCATGTGATATCGCCATTGTCTTGTATTATGCCCATCCCTATACCAGGTCCTAGATCATGTGCTATCCCCATTGTCTTGTATTAAGCCCATCCCTATACCAGATCCCAGATCATGTGCTATCCCCATTGTCTTGTATTAAGCCCATCCCTATACCAGGTCCTAGATCATGTGCTATCCCCCATTGTCTTGTATTAAGCCCAACCCTATACCAGGTCCTAGATCATGTGCTATCCCCATTGTCCTGTACTATGTCCCATCCCTATACCAGGTCCTAGATCATGTGCTAGCCCCATTGTCTTGTATTAAGCCCATCCCTATACCAGGTCCTAGATCATGTGCTTACCCCATTGTCTTGTATTAAGCCCATCCCTATACCAGGTCCTAGATCATGTGCTTACCCCATTGTCTTGTATGNAGGTATCAAAATCATCGATATTCTTGTAACAATAGATCTAGAAATACTCTGAAATACACAGCTCTGTTGTATAATTATAACAGGCAGCAGTAGAAATGATCATTTAATGTTCTAAAATGAATTAAAATGAAAATTGTTGAATATGTTTTGAAAAAAAGAAAACTTACAAACCACATGTCCAACATGAGCTTTTGGGAGCACCACCATCACGAAAATAGGTCTACTTGCAGTTTTGAAAGAAATATAAGTTGGGCGCGATCGGTTTTTCTGATACAGAATCAGAAAATAGAAAAAAACAATTGAAAATCGCAATGTTATTTCTTTTTCTAGTAGCCATGTTCGATGGACTATACTGGTCTGATGTGTTTCAATAAAATTGAAAATTCTATTTTCAGGAATAGTGACTTGACCTTTGACCTTATTTTCCACCCATCATATTTGAACTATGTTTAACATGGGCCAATTATCTTTTCCCTTTCAAAAGATTGGTGAAAACATTTGCTGAAAAGGACATAATCAATAAAACAGGCAGCACGATACCGTAATATACATATAATAATATATTTCCAGAAACTAGTTTTTTTCATTCAAAACTTACAAGGCTCTATGTCTAAACATCAAAATGGGTAAAATGCAACATAATATACTTGGAACTACATTTTCTCTTTTCAATATATGAGAAGAAAATAACATATTTTTCCTTTAATAATGGTTAGTCAGGCCGATAAATCAATTACAGAAATCATGATCAAATCGTCAGAATCAAGTCAGAATAACGGTTTAACCATATGGTGATATCATGATTTCAAATCAGTATCCCCCTGCTAGATATGAGATACTAATAAGAGTTTAAAGAAGCATTAGTTTCCTTATATATTTTTTCAGCTGCTCTGTCGGCACGCATTGTCACTGACTTTCAAGTCTGTTTTAAGACCAATTGAAGGGAGATAATTTTTGTAACTCAGGTCCTGTTTTTTATGTTTTACCTATATCAAGTCATATAGCAACAACATTGAGATTCATAAAACAATTATTGATTGATTTTAAGAGTAATCAATGATAAATCATAAACTTTCAACTAATTTTGGCCAAGGACCAAGTTATAACTATATATTTACCTTTAACGAACTTCTCTGGTCTTTCTACCTCTTCTGGTACAGGTAATTTACTAGGCTCGCTCGCATCCTTTACAGTTAGAAAAACATATTTGTCTTTTCCTAAAAACAAAAACAAACAAAAAAAAATAAAAAATAAAGTGAAATCTGACTGCACAGATGTAAAAGGTTTGAAAAACTTAAACTGATGTTGGCATTTGTTGCTTCAGCTTGTAAATGTTTACAGACAGAATTAATCATTTTATATGCTGAATAATAGGGCAGTAACAATATATTGTACCGTATTGTATCCAAATAATTTCTAATGTATTGTTACGAATTATTTTGTTTGCCGTTGGTACTGAAATTAAAAATTAACAATCATTGTTTTATTAACTCTTAATTAAGTTACTTATTGGTTTGGAATCTTTCACCATACATATTTAATTAAGACTATATATGACATTAAATAAAATTATAAAATCCTGCACTCAATCATTGTGAAATTGACCTTTTGGAAGAGATATGTGTATTGTGATACATGTCAAATCATAAGCAGCATACTGCTATGCGTAACATGAGGTATGTGTATCATTGCAGCACTACTGAACCAAAAAAATAAAACAAATTATATACTCCAAGCTGAGCAACAAAGGTTACAGTATCCAAAGTTTACAGACAAAGGTAACATGCACAAGGATTGTAACTTGATATTGAACCCAATACATTGAAGTACTTTTGTACACAAAAAGTTATCAATTATTGTGTCTACCTTTTTGTGAAAATGACAAACCATATCACTGTCTGACACTGATCTCTATTGACTTCAGTGTACCTGTAGTCTAATAGAATCTCCCCCTACCTTGAGGGTGTGACAGAGAAATCTCTAACCCGAGGGGTGATGTTTTTTGGTTGTCTACCCCGAGGCCCTGCTGAGGGTTAGACAACCAAAACAATAACCATGAGGTTTGGAGATTTATCTGTCACACCCTCAAGGAGGGGATGATTATTTTTCTCCCATCCTTTTATTTGAGTCACAACTCCACCGACAGTAGTGTAAACAAAAACACATATGGGGTATGAATATCGTCATTCACTTTTAATGACGTCACAATTACCGGCGACGCATTTTAATGACTCACAATTGAACACGTGCTAATCAGCACGAGGATATCTCCCCCGAGGGGGTGACATGCTGATCTTTCCCGGCTAAATAGGGAAACACACCTGTGAACTGAAGGGTGGGAGAAAATGGGATCAATCATTTCCCAATGCATATGTGACAGGTGAGCATGATTTTTACTGTGTGCTATTTTAGCCTATTTATAGCTACTCTACAACACAATATATTAAAGCAATGGAGGTAGTAACATACAGTGAAAGTTGTTGATGTCAGAAAGGGAGTGAAATATTTTGACGTTTCAGTACAGAAATTGTTACTATTCCTGTGCAACCATCAGATACAGAGGATAACAGATCCTAGTGTGGTAGGACGAGGAATAGTGATTAAGTAATTGCCGTCGCTGAGGCTCGAACCCACGACCATTGGCTCTCCAGCCCGTTGCTCTACCACTAAGCTAAAGGGAATTTCCTTACAACTGACGCTTGTACAGCAAACTAACCAATGCACATCTTTTACACTATTCCCTCCTTTTTTAAACACCAACCCAGGTTTTTGACTCCCTGCTAATATAAGGATTCTCCTACCTTGAACGGGGAGGGTCAATGGCACCAGTTTATAGTAGGATGGGGAATAGTGATAAAGATAGTGCCGTCGCTGGTGCTCGATCCTGTGACCCTTGGCTCTCCACATGCAGGTGGTCACCAATCCATCTACTGACCATGCTCGACGTTGCTGTACTAGAAAATGGGCCCCTGGGTTATACCTCATCACTGGAAAAGCTAGCTTGCCAGTAAGGCAATATTTTCCCCTCATATACCTAAGGCCTAGCTGTTACACATGTAAGACAAACTAATCAATGCATATCTTTCTGAATTAACATTAAGATTGTATGTACAATTGTAGTCCGAATTATTCTGATGTTTTATCGACTTTTTCATATCGGTCTGTCGTCGGTTAATCGACGACAGACCGATATGAAAAAAGTCGATAAAACGTCAGAATAATTCGGACTAGTACAATTGTAACTCATTGCATTTTTTATTGAATTATGGTGAAGGAATGACACCCTTTTTGTTCATAATGTTTAAAAGAACTTAGTGTGTGTTTTCATTTTACTTAATTCCCCATTTCAGCAACAAGTTTTTATTCACTCAAATGGGCCAATTTAACTGTTAATCATGCCCCGTGTTGTACCCAACCAGTCTAAATTCTCATTTAACATCGTATTACCACCAAAATTCTTGGGCCTGTGTGTGTTGTTATTTAAGTTGGTAAAGGTATAAATAAGGTATGATGAAACATAAATATAGCTGACATGAGGTTGGTAATGACACTACAGAGTACAGTGACCTTTGTAGACTGAAGAAGCCGGTTTACATTTGCGGAGATATTACGATTTTATACGAATTGAGTATTTGATCATGTGAATAAGATCAGTTTCATGATACCTTTACCCAGACAACCTACCGTCTTCTTGGCAGAATGACATTGTGGAATGGCTAAGTGTCCTTATAAAACGATTTCAAAGACAACAATCACACGTGTGCTCCGTCAAATAAGATAAATCTACGCCTTCAATACAAACATTCAGGTGACGACATGAAGCGACATCTGGCGGTAGTGCGAATGACAAACGCAGATAACTACTCCTCACTCTGACATTCAAAATGTGTCAAATGTAGGCGCAGGATGCAAAATTAGATTTCCATATAAATGTTAAATATTTACCAATCGTGATATTAAAACCAACTGATATTCGATACTTTATAATTGTATTCAATTATTTTAAAAGGACAATGTTCAATAAATTATTCTGTAATAGAGTAATTTATTGAACATTTAACTTTGAATAAATATATTTCAAATAATTGTTAATATCATATTCTAGGACATATAGTGTATGTCCGAGAATATGATATTTACAAATAAATTATGTTCTCATGTTCAGTTTGTATTTGATTCAGACCGCCCTATATGGCGTGTCAAACGTTCTACGAGTACTATGAACATTTTCTAAAACTTATTTCCATTTTTACGTCTAGACTAAATGTAGTCAATTTGTTTTCAGGCAAAAGAAAGTAGCCTAACTATTATGTTGTCTTTAGTCCGTTTTCACAATTTCTTTTTTTAACGATTAAAAGTAGTCACAGAAAAAAGTGAGATGGTTCATTGCCATATCAATGTGCTGTATGTTCAAATGTTGACATCAATTAAGTAAGCTGGTAGATTGAAAGATGATATATATATTATCTACTGGCCAAACTACTAATCCCCGACAGAGACGTATATACGACTTGGCTTTATATATCTTTGTTCCCGACAACTGAAATGGAAAACATATATTCTCAAATTGGCAAAGTGGCATAAAATCATTATCAATGCTATATTTTGAAAAAAAAAAAAAAATTAGGCTGCATCCCTTCATCACAATATCTGACACTCAGAGTTGTATTTACGTGTGAACAGTTTGGTTTGGTTTTATTTTGGTTAACGTCCTATTAACAATTACGATCATTTAAGGACGTGGCTACTTGTGTGTATGCCGGAGACAGGGTATGCTGGTGCCGTCTCCTTGTGGTAGCGCAGATCTGATGCCGACTTTGAAGTGCATTGATTAGGTTGCCTTACAGGCGTCAGCTGTAGAGAATTTCCCTTTAGCTCAGCGGTAGAGCATCGGGCTGGAGAGCCAATGATCGCGGGTTCGACCATCAGTATTCAGTATTCCTCGTCCTACTTCAATAGTGCTGCCTACCTCACTGAAACACCATACCGACGGCACTCTGCTAGCACAGCACAGCATTCCGTCCTGTCACGCTATACTGGCAACGGGTGAACCAGTTGTTGCCATTTCCCTAAATGCTGATCGTTAAGCAGGGAACAACAACTACCATTTCTAAGGTCAGACGTAGGGGAGTGTGGTTAATACATTATATTACGATTTTATTTATTGTCTTCACTTTTTCTTTACGCACGTGACGTATGTCTACGTTGTCAAGTTTCTACTTTTAGTCAGTCATGCTGCAATAGTGTGATACACAATTTTGCTAAACATGTACAAATATACTGAATTAAGGACATAACTATCTACAATATTGTACGGTCGGAAGCAGTAGGTGCTATAAGGGCGATCTTCATCTTTGGTTGGTTGAAAGTTATCGGAGTTTAAACTCAAAGGTGGTGAAAAAAATGGAATTACTTAAATTGAAATGCCGGCTTACGTAATATTGTGATGTGTATAAATAAATAGATAGATAAATACCAAAAATAGAAAAAAAGAAAAAAGGATTGGTTTGAAATAAATGTGATCGTTGAGTTGTGTTATGTGACCGCGTGCCTAATCTGTACGAGATATCACGCCAGCAACGTGACCTAACTACTTACCGCGCTGGTACTAGTTCCCACGACAGAGAGTAAATATGGACGTCAAGACTCTTCTCCTGCTTCTACCAGGTACGTGTCAAATTCAATATTTTGAGTACATACGTACATACTTATATATGTTTACCAGCGTACATTCTATTAATTAATATTCTAACTATATCGAAACTTTTTTTTACCTATTTTTGTTTGTTTATTGTTGTTGTTGTTTGGTTTTTTGTTGTTGTTGTTTTTTTGTTGGGGGGGGGGGGATTGTAAAGATTTAAAAACTGTGTCGAATATGATTTAAAAGAAATAATATAAGCGAGTTATCGATGACTGCTGGATCGAGATCACAGCATTTATACGTGTCTTCGTGAGTAATTTTACCTAGTCCCACGAAAGGAGTTGAGCCTCGTGCAAGGTAAGTGATACAGCCTGTTGGGATTCTCTCAGATAATGATTGTAAACGGATTCATATAGGCCAACAAGTAAATGGCAGTGCGTCGTTTTTATGAGTAGAACGAAAAGTTATCAGACACGTGCCCATTAACGACTATTAAAATGATGTGTAAAATATGACAAAAAATCGACAAGTCGAGTCGGCTACGCGCTATAAGCGAGTGCACACCCCCGTGTTAAAAACATTTAAAATGATGGTCAAATGTTTAGTACCAGGTCAAAGACATGCGAAAGTCTAGAAGCCACTCGTCTCGATTCAGAACTAGCCTATTTTGTTTTATATCTAGATGGCTTCGTTTATCTGCAGTTCGAACACGTTATTCTCTCTGTCCAACTCGTTGCATCCTGATATCCAGGGGTTACGCTCACTTTCGCTCTCTGCACCCCTGAAATATGTCAGGGCAAAACTGAAGGCACACGGCTAGATATTTGATTGGTGTCAGGTTAAAAATCCTGACCAATCACTAGGCTGATACTTGTCCTTTGAAGAATACTGAGGAGCGACGCTCGACTTCAAAGCCAATAAGCTTTTACCGTTACACGACCGCGATATTCTTTTGATGTACATCAAAGGATCAGAGATGCGTACACTGAGCCTTCGAATTTGCTATAACATATTCCAGGGGTGCAGAGAGCGTAATCGAGCGTAAACCCTGGATATCGAGGATGAACTCGCTGGGGCTATCCTAATCAATAACTTCATTTTAATCTGTGGGATGATATGCGATTTCTTTCATTGAATTGGAATACTTGCTTTGTGGTATAAACATTCTAGTTTTTGTTTGTTGACAGTTGTTTACAGCGCGTGCCCATCACCATGGAATATGGAGTTCCAGAGTTCCTGTTACATGATTGTTACAGAAATGAAACCTTGGGCGGAAGCTGATGTAATGATTAATCTAATTTTATTATTTATATAGATATGTATTTTTCATTTTTTTTTTTTTTTTCAAAGTATTTTTCATATTACAATAACATATACATTTCATTATACATAATGAATTCCACTTTCACATATACTTTCATACTAATTAATATTGCTCTTTTTGTAAGTGGTATTTAATTTTTTTGTAATGTTATATAAGAAAGGAAGGAAAATCAGATAAGAGAAACAAGAAAACAAAGCATAGTAGAAATAAAGACAGGATTATTTATATAATTGACAAGCAATCTTAGGAGACCCTCTACAGAAAGCTTAAATGTAAAATATTAGACCAGAAACACAGAGACGCCTCTTAAAGCAATAGCTGATCCCGACCATGACAGACCGTGACCATGAAGAATTTCATTCGGTCAAAATAATTAACTAAGACAAGCATTTGGAAGACTCGAACTTTTGACCTTGATCACAGTTGTCTCGGCTTCATTGGCTGATATGTATACGATTGAATTGAGCCCCAGCTTTTCTCCATATAACCCTGCCCAGGCTTGCGCACTGGAGAATCCACACGACATTCGGCACAACAGTTTACCAATTCTATAGTTGACGCTCGATTTGCATAGAGCGTTGCGTGAGGTGTTGCTCCCGAAGATAGGAAAGAGTTTCGGAACTCATTGGACAGCTACCTCCCGCCTTAGACTGGGCGGCCCCCAGTCAGAAATGTATTGTCCCGCCACAGCCTGCCTTCCTTTTTGAATGCTTCAATTCACAGACAGACTTTAAACTCTGCATCGGACAAAACATAGATGATTACTGTATAGCGCTTTAAATTCGCGGGGTCAATATTCTGCGGTTTCGTATTCAGTTCATAATCGCAGAGGTTAAATTTCGCTGTGCAACAAAGTATTTTGAGTGTCATCATGTAAGGGTTAACCCTCGAAATACAGGTTAACCGTTTGAAAACACTGATCCCAAGCGCCGTCATCCGCCCGTGACCTCACTCGAAAGAAAATCAAATGTGTATGTACTGTTGTATGAGTAAACTGTAATCAATTATTCACCTACTTCGCTACTGTGAAAGGGTACCATATGAGAGACATCATCAAAACCCTGGCTTTTGTTAGCTTCGCAAAAAACACCCGAGGGGGATGACTGGTTTCAAGCTAAATCCATCGAGATAACTCCCGTCATTAATGTGAAGTGCGCTGCCCTCGCAGAGCGCAAGCGCCTCCAAAGTTAGAGGTTATTACAGATACTGCGAACTGCATCCATGCAATGTGCCAACAGACTGACTGTGACGTAGTGACAATATTCAGAAAGGATGTAGAAGCTCATAAAAAAAATGTCTTAAGCCCGACACCGCCACTTTCCTCCCATCTAAAATCTTCCTGTGGGGAAGTGACAGTTGACAGAAGAAAGCAGATGGAGGGATGGTCAGATCACTTCCATGGGCTTTACTCCAGAGAGAACACCGTCGTCCCATCTGTACTTGACACCACTGACGGTCTTTCCGTCATTGATGACTTTAGGCGCTGAGCCAACACACGGGGAACTTAGGCCATTGACAATTGGTCACCAGCAAAAGGATCTCGGTAATGATTTGATTCCTCCTGACTTGATTAACTTCTGCAAAAGTAAACTCATTTGCCCCTTGCTTGATGCCAGTTGTCAGTGCTAAAAAGAAAGCGTTGTACCACAAGGCATGCGAGACTCCAAAAGCTCTTCGCTCGTAACACATTGATTTAACTCCAGACGCTTGCCCTGTCGATGTACTCCGAGTCGCAGTGTGGCTTCTCCTTTGACAGGTCTCTGTCGACATGTTGTCAATTTGCCTTAGCTCCAGAAGTCCAGAGAGCAGCAAATGTCACATTCATCGACTTCGTCAACGCCTTTGATCTGATAAGTAGAGAAGGCCTCTACAAATTCTCCAGAATATCAGCTTTCCTCCAAATTTGCACAGCATGATCGTGTCCTTCCACAAAACTACAAAAGGGACCCTCTATTATGATGCCACGGTGCCACCAAACCCTTCCGCTTCTGTACATTGCACGACTCCGAACTAAAACAAATACGTTTTATCCAGGTACATATGCTGTTTGCTAATAATGCCGCTGTCAAAATGTACACAGAACAACATTTTAAGGGTCTCTCAGATTATCACAGGCAAAGACTTTTGACCGACCATCTGTCTGAAGGGTTTTGGCGATATATTGCCATATTCATGCCACTCAAACAACGTAGGCTTTACTGGCATGGCCACATCCATAAGGTGGAGGATAAACGCATACCCAAAGACATCCTCTTCGGTTCACTCGCCTCCGGAAGGAGGTATGTACGCCGCCCCAGGCCGTAACATAAGGATGTGCGATCCCGCTATTCCTGACCCCAACGCTGGCATCTGGGGCGCACACCCTTAGTTGACAGCTGTCAGAAGGAGGGCTACTATTAGCCAAAACCCTACGGTCCACTACATTCTGGAATGCTTCATAGATCAGTTGTGTTTATCTGCCAATGAAACCGAGACAACTGTTTCTTGCACCTCAGACAGAGATATCCCACGTCATACCCCATGCTAGATTTTTCTATCTCTTCCGATCTGTCTGGTACCTTCACGTGACATTTCACGGAATTTTTACAATGCGATGTATTCATCCGAGCGTTAACGGCTTGAAATTGACAATCTGCATTATAAACAATCTGTTTTGTCGGTATATGTATTGTTTTGATGCTGTTAGATATCTGATGTTGTAGATAAAATATAATCAACACTGGGAAATACGTTGTCTTTTTTATAAGGACGAACTGATTTTTTACGTGGAAGCATTCAAATGTAGTTTAAGTAGTGTAGAGGCATTTTTTATTGGAGGCCCAAGACGGGATACTTGTAGTCTTTAGCAAAATCGAATATATTTTTTTCGAAACAAAAGGTGCGAGAAAAAAATAAATGTTTTTGAATCAATTGTCAATGGCCCGTTCCCTCGTGTGTTGGCTCAGCGCCCAATTCAACAAGGACGGACACACTGTCGTCAAGTACAGACGGGACGACAGTGTTCTCTCTGAAGTAAAGCCCATGGAAGTGATCTGACAATCCCTCCATCTACTTTCTTCTGTCAACTGTCAATTGTCACTTCCCCACAGGAAGATTTTAGATGGGAGGAGAGGGGCGGGGACGGGGCTTACGGCTCGGTCGGGATTATGTGACAGAATCTTAGCCCTCGACTGTGATAACTCGATCTCGCTCAGTTACAGGTAATATATTTTATTAGTCTTGATATTGGTGCTGCACACCGATATATTAACCTGTATTGGACATAAACCGCCTAGTCGTCATAATTTAATATGTATCGTTTCATTACGTATTTGACCACTTGATACATCGTCTACCAAGTTTTATACTCAATCGTTCAAAATGTATTAGACGGACGAGAGGACTGACTTGACTCACCAACATAGATCAAACTGACCGATGTGTGGCGGACTGACAAACATGGGACGGACATGTTGTAATGATGTCGTCATGGTTTCCCCAAGACCAACAGCACGTGCTCGTGAGTGTGAGAAATAGTTTTTCTAAAAACAAACTGTCGTCTTAGATAAATACAAAACTTACGAACGAAGTATGGACTTTTACGAACATATTGATTTATCATCAAACCATTTAAAGTTTGCTAATTACAGCCTAAAATCGTCGAGTACGGTTTACGTATCCAGTGAGCATTTCATTTAGCGAGTACCGCTGAACCGCGGATATTTGTACTCACGAAGGTATCTTTTTCCACAGTATATAATATGAAGGTGTTTTGTTATTTTACAGCGTAATTGTGGGCTTCATCACCCCGATGGTCACCTAGTTAAAATTGAAACAGCGGAGGAGCAAACCTTCCTTACGAACTACGTCAAAGCTCACCAAGGTAACAAGTCACTCAGTTACAAGCTTCCTAACTACCCTGACTATGGTTCCCTGAGCCACGTTCCATTTGAACAGTTAAGAAGCATTCTGTGGTGGACTGGTTTCATAACGTTCTGTATCATGTACAAAAAAATCTACATATATTTTCAACAAAACCAAGCATTTAATGTATTATTAGAAACCCTCTAATTACACCAATGTTTCACATAAACAATGAAAAATAGTAATTACACATTGGCAATCGAAGACCATTTTTAGAAAACTTCTGACATTCTAAACAACTTTCAGGCTGATAGAAAATGGATGGGTGAGCAATTCGATGGTACATGTATTTCTACATTAAAATCATTGTGGTAGGGGCTGGGGATGGGAGGAGGGGCCAAGTTTATGGAGTGTACTTGTTCAAGGTCTGTCCACTTTCACTACCAGGGACATGATAGATCTGGGTGACCAATCACGTGGCTTTATATACATTTCTAAGTTGAACGAGTGTCTTGTTTGCCTAGACGGGATGAGGGGTGGTGAATCAAATTCCGCTAGTTTGTTATGTTAATTATAACTATATGTATTCCCTATAGCACACCTCGCGGGAGAACTGTGGACAGACGGGACGGACGTGGAGGTCCCGCGTGAGTTTGTGTGGGACTATGGGTACGACCACTTCGTCTATGCCAACTGGAAACATGGGGAACCCAACAACCAGGGCGGCCACGAACACTGTGTGGAGTACGGCAAGAGCTACAACTACCAGTGGAATGATATCCCGTGCAATAATCACTACCAGTCCATCTGTGAATTCGAGTAGGTTTCTATAATATCTTCAATAAGATTCATCAGTTTGGAAATATGTGATATCACAGTTTCACTTCATACTTTGGGTTGTTTGTGTTTTACGTCCTGTTATCAGCTATGGTCATTTAAGGACGTGTCAGGTTTTGGTGGTGGAGGAAAGCCGGGGGTTCCCGGAGAAAAAACACCGACCTACGACCAGTATACATGGCGACTGGCCCTCGAACCCAAGACCCGGGGCTAGTTGTAGACTAGCTGAATGCCAGACGCCTTAACCGTTTGGCCACCGTGGCTGGCCAGTCGGTCTTGAAATGTTGCAACACGTTTAATACTTTACACTTTTGGACACTTAACAACTGGGTAGCTTTAAATATATTCTATAATATAATTACCTCTTTTTGTCATCTTTCACGCAAGCTGGCGTTTACTATCATTATCTACCTTATGTATTCATGTATAGCATAGAAGAATTGGAATGATCACAAAGAAGTTAGAATTGTTCACATGACATCTACCGTTCCAATAATTACCCTCTGACATCTATTGGATGACCGGTCACTAACCTCCCCCGTCATCACGTACACTACTCTCGTTATTTCGATCTTTACCACATGACGTCATCACATGACCTCTGTAGTTCCGATGATTACACTCTGACGTCATCAAGCACCAGTTGGTTGAAAAGGGAATCTATTCCGGACTTTTTAAGATCGTATAGTGTAGGGACAAAACTGAGTGACCAGGTACTATAGGTACCGTGGATCCAGTTACAGGCCTAACTAAACGTTTCTAAACTAATTAATAAGTGCGTCCCAGAGTTACATAAAATCGCTTGATGAGCTAGCTTGCCAGTAATATTGCAGTATTCCCTCACTCTATTATTCATTGGCTGTTACAAATGTCATCTACAGGTATATTACAGAAATGTACAGGTCATATACAAAATTGTATGTTTTCAATTTGTAAACTGTTTATAAAGTATCAACAGGAACAACTACATAATAACGAAATTGTCTGTGACGTACATTATTGTCAAAAAACGTAACTGAAAGTTAATAACAATTTTGTTTATTTTGCAGGAAAACTGTGTGAATTTCACAACAGCATGCCACAAATTATTGCAACAATAAAGATTCTACATAAAGAAGCCATTACACGTATTAAGCTCCTGTTGTTGTTTCTATAACTTAAACATTCGGGTTCGGATTTTGTTTATGTGAATTGACATTAACCTATTTCATCAGTGAGTGTTGATATCATATATCAAATTAGTTTACTTTGTCATTGTGTTGACAATAGTATATTTTGTCCTGTATGTTGATAAAAACATACTTCGACCCTGTATGCTGACACTACTTGAATTTGTCCCTGTATTTTGACAATAGTTTACTTTGTCCTGTATTTTGACAATAGTTTACTTTGTCCCAGTATGTTGACACCAGAAACTTTGTCCCTGTATTTTGACAATAGTTTACTTTGTCCCTGTATTTTGACAATAGTAAACTTTGTCCCTGTTTTTTTTACTTAAGTATCCTTTGTCCCTGTATTTCGACAATAGTATACTTTGTCCCGGTATTTTGACACTAGTATACTTTGTCCATGTATTTTGACACTAGTATACTTTGTCCCTGTATATTGACAATAGTAAACTTTGTCCCTGTTTTTTTTACTTAAGTATACTTTATCCCTGTATTTTGACACTAGTATACTTTGTCCCTGTATTTTGACAATAGTATACTTTGTCCCGGTATTTTGACACTAGTATACTTTGTCCATGTATTTTGACACTAGTATACTTTGTCCCTGTATGTTGACAAAAGTAAACTTTGTCCATGTATTATGACACTAGTATACTTTGTCCCTGTATATTGACAATAGTATACTTTGTCCCGGTATTTTGACAATAGTTTACTTTGTCCATGTATTTTGACACTAGTATACTTTGTCCCTGTATATTGACAATAGTGAACTTTGTCCCTGTTTTTTTACTTAAGTATACTTTGTCCCTGTGTATTGACAATAGTATACTTTGTCCCTGTATTTTGACAATAGTTTACTTTGTCCCTGTATATTGACAATAGTATACTTTGTCCCTGTATTTTGACACTAGTATACTTTGTCCATGTATTATGACAATAGTATACTTTGTCCCTGTATATTGACAATAGTTTACTTTGTCCATGTATTATGACAATAGTATATGTTGTCCCTGTATGTTGACAATAGTTTACTTGTCCATGTATTGTGACAATAGTATACTTTGTCCCTGAATTTTGACACTAGTATATTTTGTCCCTGTATGTTGACACTAGTATACTTTTCCCGGTATTTTGACAATAGTATACTTTGTCCATGTATTTTGACAATAGTATATTTTGACAATAGTATACTTTGTCCTTGTGGTGGTACATATATGTTTTGCCACCAGTAGAGTTGGTCCCTATGTTGACACTCTTTGCTCTTGTGTATTTTGATATGGTAAGTAACACCCTACTGATTATATTATTTTCCCCTTTTTGCCAGAAACAAAAGTTCTCAATACTGTTGAAATGTGTAAAAGTTGAGCTAAAAAGATACCGGATTTTCATTTCCTTTTAGTCAAGACTGCGTTTTAAAATCAATGGAATAAAAAAGTAGTAATACAGTGAAGTTGCATTTACAAAAGAAAATATCAATTCCAATGGAGGGACATATATATTGTAACATTAAGGGAATTAGGGGTGTTACTGGCTTCAGTTGAAACTACATGGCAGTAAACAAATGCAAATGTTCACTAATAAACAAGGTGGTTAGAAAATGTCATTGCATTCCGATGAATGTTTAAGAAAACTCCCTGATTTTATCACATGTAGACAGGATAAGATTGTGTACGGGTCATAACCGTCTTCATGGCAGTGAAAACAACATGGCGATCACACATGCACAGGGACGTGATAGGACAGATATATGTAAAGTTTCACGAACATCGTTCCACTACGTATGTAATTGTCCAGACAAAATTGTGTAGAAAGAGACATGGACAATCTGAAGGATAAAATGGAGGAATAACAATTTCGAAGTTTCTTTTATCATTTTATTACAAATAAATCCCCACCCCTACATTATCCCAGCCCTGCAGACCGTCACACACTTTTGATGATCTGCTGCCTCTCCTCCAACAGGAAGCTGCGAATCAGGTTGTCAATACTTTCCTCTGATCGTGCCACTTGTTTCTCCATCGTATGTTTAAAGTCCTCTTTCACATTCTTATTTACACCGCGTGTCACTGTTCTTTGTCTGAAATACAATGGTAAAATCTCACACTAAAGGCATCTGGCAGCCATATTGTAGTTTATATGTTACAGAGAAACTTCCATAAATCGAACTTTGAAGATTCAAATATTCGATGTGCCAAACATACAAAGTATGAGTCGAATTTCTCACAGTTTCGAAGTAAAACCAAGGTCTGTTCAATATGAAATATTTCAACAATAAAAGTTGCAGCTAATAAATCAAACTGAAATAAATACTAGTACATTGACATGGTACTTTAGAAAGTTTATTGACAAAAAAGAAAAGTTGAATTTGATAAGATCACCTCACAGAATACAGTGTATAAATAGCATGCTGTTCTAATTGCTGTATATTTTGTAAATATTTGTCATTTTAAGTTTAATTTTTAAGCCTGGCTATAATTGGTCATTTAAGAATAATATTCAGTCTTACGTACAATGCTGTTTGATGTCCATGCAACATTTGAGAGTCAGAGTCTCTAACAGCAAAGTTTGAAACAAAGAAGATAGACTGTAGTTTGATTCAATATTGATACTGCATATTCCGTCACTGCATATTCCGTCTTTGCATATTGCAGAGTTATCTTCTCTTGAGAGCAGGTATTGATTGTTACGTCATTTGTTTGTGAGAAAACGACGTAATTTCCTCACACAAACCTATGACGTAACAATCAATACCTGCTCTCAAGAGAAGATAACTCTGCAATACGCAAAGACGGAATAAAGAGGACAACGGGTCTAGACAAAGATTTGTACTAAAACATCTAAAGGATATAATAATAATTTATAATAATTCGAGGTTCTTATATCCCGCTTTATCATAGCCTAGAACGTCGGTCGTCTCAGAGCTGTTCACAAATTATTATTCGTGGTTATACGGCCTTTGCAACCAGCCAATATCTTTCTCAACTCCCTGGGGAGCATACAGACAGTATGAGGTATGGGAAAAAAGATGAAAACTAGCTTTAAATTGATATCATGATGCCTTTTTTTGAAGACAGATTAAAATCTTACTAGTCTTGGTACATGCTAGTCATGACAACTATATACTACTTACTGAGCTATGGCCTTTGTACTGACGGGAAGGATGTCTAGAGAAACTTTGCCGCCCTCCTGTGTTTTCAGAAATGCAAACTCCTCCAAAATATCAATATCTTTTAAAGTTAAGGATGCAATAACAGGTAAAACGGAGCTGACAAATCATATAGAACTGTTATTAGTCCCCAGTATAAATAGATAACAGAAACACATCCATAGAAGAGATATTTCACCACAATGTTAAATTGATTTACCCTGGTAACCTGGGACTGTATTCATGAAACCATTCTCATGCTCAAACCCAACTTCTTATTCTGCTGATCAATTAATAAAACAAGAGGCCCATGGGCCTTAACGGTCACCTGATATATTTATACAGAGAGTTGATTTTGTTTTTAACACGAACAGAAATATTATTCAAAGTGATCAAAAACAATAAAACCACCTTATCCAATATCTAGCATACAGATTTAAGACTAAAAAGTATTTGAAACTAGCAACTCTGATTCTAAACAAGGAAAATGAAGAAATTTTAGCACACTGACTCCTTCAGACCCTTCCATCTATGAAGAGTGTTTGATTCTACCATATCTGGGTCTTGAGAAGAAGATTTTTGAAATTTTAGTCAATTTGACCCTTTTTGGCCCCGCCCCTCAGGCCCCGGGGGACCGGGGACCAAACCGGCAACTATTTTTGTTGCCCTTTGGCCATGGAAGGTTTCTGCAACATTTCATTGAAATTGGTTCAGGGGTTTTGGAGAAGAAGTCCAAAATGTAAATTGTTTACGGATGGACGACGGACGACGACGGACAAAAGGCGATCGGACAAAAGGCGAGCCCAATAGGTCACTTGAGACTTTGTCTCAGGTGACCTAAAAAGCTGAAGACCATTTTTGATATTTACACTTGACCTTTTTGCTGTGTCACATGATGTAAGGGAGTTGCAAGAAAGTTGGTTTGAGCATGAGAATGGTTTCATGAACATGGGCCCCTGATTTTCATTGGTCAGTACTGCTCTGTTTTAATTGTGACATCAAAACAACAGAGATGACATTGTCAATTTCCAAGGTGATGCATTAGAAAATGTATGAACACCTGTATTTATCAATATTACAAAGTTTAAACCTGTATATTTACATTTCAACTTCAACAGGATACTCTTAAGCGTTCAAAATACTGAACATTACTTATAGGCGCTGCAACCCACTATATCAATATTACCAGCAAAAATGTATTTCATTTGAGCATCACGTGGTTTACTAATGACGCCATAGATTAACCTTGTTCAATGAGTCTTGTCTCTTCACTTCGGTTAACATATGCCCCTACGTCAAACACTCACTATGTAGTAAATGACTACAGTTAATTATTGGCGTTGATTTGATAAAAATAGGTCTGTTCTGCTAATGTCGTTGAACTCATTCACCCCTGAAGACACATTTGAACCCTTCCAATTCAAAAAGGTGGAATAGTTCATTATGAAATTTCAGGGGTGAATGAGTTAATGGACGACACATAAACAAAACGCAGTAAATAAATAAATTATTTAAGAACAAATACATAAACTCAAACATTTGTTCAATACGTAGTAAAAATGTAAATATATAGATTGAACGGCGTTTTTTAAATTTTCATGTCGGTATGAACGCAAATCGGTTACATCCATATTACTCATGAAGCCCGCTATATTGAGGTAACCGATTTGCGTTCATACCAACATGAAAATTTAAAAAACGCCGTTCAATCCCTATATGAATACAGTGAAAGTATCCTTGCATCAAAATTTGGAAACAACTTTATCATGAAGAATAAGTTTCATTCACTTCCAAATCAATTTACAAGACAAAACACTTTCCCATGAAATTTGAAGTCACCTGTCTACTGAGTGTTTTCCTATCTGACAAATAACAAAAGGATACTGATAATGAAATTGAAGAAGAGGTTGTATGTAAATGATCCCTGGCTTCTGACTTTCTTCACTACTTGCTGAAATAATGGTTCCTGTCTCGGCCAATCATATTGCAGTAAAACCACCATGTGACCAAGAGCTGTGTCATCTGTTTTGTTTGGAGATAACGCCTTTTCCTGAAAAACAAAATTGAAAACAAATTAGAATAAGATTGGATAGCTATGTGGAGGATACAGGTATATACTATATCTGTGTTTGTAACGTTTGTATTATAATACATTTGTTGCATCACATCCTTTCTCTGGTCAGTCTTTAATACTGCTGATACCTACCTATGATTCCCTATATTATAATATCTGTATCCCCTATACCTGTATAATTATATTAGTTCATTTTTTTTTACAAAAAATATTTTGCAATATCTTTACAATTCCGACTATTTTGTGAAATGCGAAAAGAAACTCTGTCTTTATTAGGAAAATAAAATAAAGGAGACATAATCCAGATATTAACATAACCGACACAAGAAATTACTGTTATTCTGTTATAACTTAAGTCCCTGTCGGAACTTGCTGATAAGTTGACTACAATGGATTGTACCTTTAAACAGGACAACAGGAGCTGAACACAGTAAGGGATGATTTCTTCCTCCGTACATAAAGTCAACAGCAGGTGACGCCCAGAGGAAACGGGGTCGCTTGGTACCGTATTCTTATCTGCCCTCTGTCCTCCAGGTAGGAAGGATATGACCTCCAGTAAAATCTCACACGACCTCTGGAATATATTGACGATGATATACATTTTACACTGTCCCTACTTGTTGATGAATGGGAATTTGCACCACATTTTTATGTACAATGAACATCTAAAAGAAAGGGAAGAAAGGACGACCCAAAACAACATGGCATTCTACCCAAAACAACATGGCATTCTAGACTGTTAAAACTGGACTGAATGACATAAACAACATGGCATTCTAGACTGTTAAAACTGGACTGAATGCCATAAACAAAATCTTGTGTACCACTTTATATAAAATTGTAGGTATTTGTGCTTTCCTGTCTAAATTTTATAAAATTTCTACTAAAGTCTACACCTTACACCTGGGATTATGTAAAGAATTATATACGCTACCTCAAACAATATACCTGTTATCTGATTTATAGCTAGGGTTATATCTTCTGCTATGTATTACACCTGTGAGTTAGTTAATTATCTCCCGTAAGGGTATATGATACCATTACACCTGTGAATTGTGTTAAGAGTTATCTCCCTTGAGGGTTATAAGACGTCATTATACATGTCATTTCTCTCTTCAGATTTCTTAGCATGGACCACTTTTTAGCATGGACCTACATGGACCTCTTTTTAGCATGGATCACTTTTTAGCATGGACCTCTTTTTAGCATGGACCTTTTTTTTAGCATGGACCTCTTTTTCGCATGGACCTCTTTTTAGCATGGACCACTTTTTAGCATGGACCACTTTTTAGCATGGACAACTTTTTAGCATGGATCTCTTTTTAGCATGGACAACTTTTTAGCATGGATCCCTTTTTAGCATGGGCCTCTTTTTAGCATGGATCACTTTTGAGCATGGACCTCTTTTTAGCATGGACCACTTTTTAGCATGGACCTTTTTGTTTAGCATGGACCACTTTTTAGCATGGACCACTTTTTAGCATGGACCTCTTTTTAGCATGGTCCTCTTTTTAGCATGGACCACTTTCTAGCATGGACCACTTTTTAGCATGGACCTCTTTTTAGCATGGACCTCTTTTTAGCATGGATCTCTTTTTAGCATGGATCTCTTTTTAGCATGGACCTAGGACCACTTTTTAGCATGGACCATTTTTTAGCATGAACCACTTTCTAACAGTATGTATCACATTTACACAGTATATATAATCCTTGAAGGTAGGTCACAAGTGAGCTATTGACACTGATTCCAAGGATGGTTCATATCATTTCTGNCGGATAGCAATAGATCACTTGAGCTAAAGCTCAGGTGACCTAAAAATGGATGTTCATTCAGAGACATAAAGTTATGATATGATAAGTTTACTCTAGAAGTTTCACCAGATGATATATAGTTGCAACGAATGGTGGTAATGCAGTATTCTATAATAACGTATTAACACAAATATGTATACAGGTAGTTTTGTCTCAGTCTGGTCCGAGCCTGATTTCTTCTTTCTAAGTGTATATCCAAATGAATACACACATTGTTGGGAGCTCCAGTTTGTTATACTTACACCATATTTCCCTAGTGCCATAAAACAACATGCCATCTGGAGAGAACTACGAATCTGAAACAAAAAGACAACACATGTAAAATGGTACTCCTAATATTTTGCTCAACTCATTCACCCCTGAGAGTTCATGATGAACTATTCCAACCTTTAATCTGGAAGAGTTCAAATGCGTCTTCAGGGGTGAATGAGTTTACTAAATGATGGATGCANAAATTGGTTCAGGGGTTTTGGAGAAGAAGTCGAAAATGTAAATTGTTTACGGACGCACGACGGACGACGGACAAAAGGCGATCGCAATAGGTCACTTGAGACTTTGTCTCAGGTGACCTAAAAACTACCTGGTACTTTAACCTCACGCTAAGTACCAAATCTATTTTTACTTTCTGGCACTCATCCTCATACTTGTGTTAGAACTTCTTTGGTACAAGGGAATGGAATGCTTTATATTTTTATATTAGTAAAATATTGAGAAAAACCCTGTGCAAGCCTATCATTGAATCAGAAGTTTTCTCCCTTTTGTAACTATGAACTTGACCAGGCAGTTGAACTGACCTTCATACTGTCTTTGACCAAAGGTGTACAGGATTGGAGGTGGGCAAGGGCATCCTGGAATGCTCCCTGTAAATAAACAGCATGGATACAGCATAAAATTATAAAACCATCCATACAGCATGGATACAGTACAAAATTATCATATTATATACTGTATACAAATGTACCAGGAAACTTTCGCCTAGTCAATTGTTTGTTCTTCACTGGTAGCATCCATTTCTTCCCTGTGTTAATTTTACCCTCAACATGTTATTACTAAGCATGTTGTGTAATTAACCCTTTCACCACTGTAGACCATAATGAACTCATCCAGATCAATGTATGATAGAGTCTACTAAAGATACATAGGGGTGAAAGGGTTAAACAATGTCGTGATAAATTCGCCCTCAATACAAAGGGCCAAAAGGTGAAAGTTAAACTGCAGTGAACATTTCCCTGTTTACAATATATATAGCATAGATACAGTTTACAAATACAATATCAGAAACATTCTTGCAAANGGACAGTTTTGCCAAGTAAAACATTCACCCTTCACAGGTAAAAACCCTATTCACCTAGTGTTTACCTCACCCTTCACATATATGGTATGTGTATTACATACATGTATATGGTATGTGTATTACATACATGTATATAGTGTGTGTATTACATACATGTATATAGTATGTGATATAGTGTGTGTATTACATTTATAGGATGTGTATTACATATATAGGATGTGTATTACATATATTGTGTGTGTATTACATATGTAGTGTGTGTATTACATATATAGTATGTGTATTACATATATAGTAAGTGTATTACATATATAGTAAGTGTATTACATATATAGTGTATGTATTACATATATAGTATGTGTATTACAAATATAGTAAGTGTATTACATATATAGTATGTGTATTACATATGTAGTGTGTGCATTACATACATGTATATAGTGTGTGTATTACATATATAGGATGTGTATTACATATATAGTGTGTGTATTACATATATAATATGTGTATTACATATATAGTAAGTGTATTACATATATAGTATGTGTATTACATATATAGTAANTCATGAATTATTTTAATCATATTATGGCATCCATGAGACTGAATACACAACCTATGCCATTGTGACCGGTAAACAACAAGCCTTACCTGGTACATTAGCATGTCTGTCTGGAAATGTGCCATCCATGTCCACGTCTCCATCCTCCACACCTCGCACAGACTCACGAACTCTGGAACAAACGGTGATAGTTTGTTGCAGTGTACCAGGACAATTGCGCAAAGTAAAACATTCACCCTTCACAGGTGAAAACCCTATTCACCTAGTTTTCACCTCACCCTTCACAGGTAAAAACCCTATTCACCTAGTGTTTACCTCACCCTTCACAGGTAAAAACCCTATTCACCTAGTGTTTACCTCACCCTTCACATATATAGTATGTGTATTAATATTCTCTATCAAGATTTGGCCTCATAAAGGAGTGTAAAAAAAGGCTGTTAAAGAGTGGTAAACATTTCATGGTACACATCAGTATTCTATTTTCTTTCATAATTTTGGGTCTAATTTAATCTAACATTATGTATTTTAGAATAATTAAATTACAAAACAAGTTATTAATTTAATAATCATTGTTGTTGGCCTGAACATAAGTTCACATTGGGTCATATTATGGGATGAAAAATGTAGTACCCATAGGAAGTCCATGTGGTCAAACTGGTGACTCCATTAAACATTTACATCTGATCAGGGAATCGAAAAGTAATGACATATTTTGAGACGTTCCAACCAAGTCTTGTTAACTCTACCTCTCTGAAGTTCCTGTTTGGAGTGGAGAAGTTCGTAACATTTAAATGCTGTCAGGAAACTTTCAATTATTTTCTGTGAGTCTGGTACACCAGGTGTTGCTAGTATATTTGTAGCTGATCCGCTGGTCTTGGACTTTTTTGCCTTGGACCTGTTACAAAATACATAATTTCAGAAATTTTAAAGCAAACACTGTAACGTGGGAATTGTTGATAACGTTTTCATGTTTTGAACATTTTATCATTAAATAAGATACCAAGTCAACAGGAGTATACATGCACAGTAAAGGTTGTCGTTCTGTAGAGTGGAAAAATACAGCCTACATGGTTAATTAATAACAAATCAATCAATCCTTACTGTAGCACAATGTGCAAAGGTCACCAGACCTGACAGTCATATCACCAAAATAATTTCTGTATTCAGCTAAACTTTCACCTAGTCAAATATTCGCTCTTCACTGGTAAAATCTGTATTTGCCCAAAGCAAATGTCACCTTTTACGTGTAATAACCATATGGGACAAACTGTGTACTCATACTCTCTGTTGTGATCAATTAACCCCTATTGCCTTATTAAAAGGTGGAAATTAAACTGTAGTGAAATTTTCCGGCATACAGTAACCATTTTATCAAGTCAATGAAAACTAGTGACCACCAAAAAAGTATCTTTTGAAATAGTTTTAAACAACAGGAAAGATATCAAGGGCCACCAATATCAGTCATCTCTCCATGCAATAATGCTGAATATAAAACACCCACAGACACAATATCAACAGCTACCAGTGACAGTTCATCAAGCTGCTGTATCCAGTTAACTTACGGTGACGGCTTGTCTGACAAGTCACCTCCGAACCCTTCTATCAGCACAAGGGGTCCATGTACTGTCGCTCCACCTGTAATTAGAGTATTGCTTCAGCACATCTTTACTTAGAGATTAATACTAAAGAACAAGTGAACTATTTTTAATGGCTATGGCAGTTGTAATTTGGACTTGATGATAAACATAATAATGCTAACTTATAATTAAGCCTTATTCAAACTGAAAGGGAGGTAACTTCAAAATAAATTACAGGTACATTGTGTAAGGAAGCATACCTTCTTCAATCGACACATATTACATACATTTATGTTTTCATTAAGGACCATGTGAGCTAAAAACGAGATCCTAAAAGAATCTTGGTGCCCACCGTGAAAGGATCTACAAAAGACGATCTTTAACCTTCATTGCACTTCAATTTCCTTACAGGTCCTATTACCCAGTCCCACGCTGAATTTCCTTAACAGGAATCTTTACATTAGCTTAAACCTTTTAATGTCATGTTATTAGCCACTGTAGCGAGGTAACTGTATAAGAAAAGTATAACTATATGCAAAATGAGAAAGATCCTTCCAATACTTTCTTAGAAATAGCGATAATAAGAATTGTTTAAGGTTGGACGGCGGACCACGTACGATGGTGGGCTAACAACCACGGGTACTTACCCACGAAGGCGTCAGGGTCGACGCTGCTGACGTAGGTGTAAAGACACTCGAGGAACAGCACTGTGGTCACATACACAATCTGTTTCGTGTAGGGACTGCCCTGTATCTGCTTGGCTCTGTTATAAATGTTAAACACATACTGCCACTGCTGGTCCCTGTAACCATAGAAATCAACTAAGTATTGAACCGAGGAGAAACATGTAAAATATATTCTGCCACTTAGCAGCCATTACTGGTTACTTCAATAATAAAAATCAGTCGTACTGTGGACCACAAACATGTAAAATACATAAAGACACTGCTGATCTCTATAAAAATGGAATCAATTTGATATTGAACCACAGAAAAATACATATTAAAACATACTGCCACTGTCTGGTCCCTGTTATGATAGAAATGAGTCCTACATTCAAACAGAGAGACAATAGGTCAAACACACATACTACCACTGATTGTCCATGTAACCACAGATCTGAAGTAATTCCTATATCGAATGGTGAACCACAGAGAGAAAATGTCTTTATTAGAAATTCACTGCATTAGTTTACTCATATCAGTGTAACAAAGATGATCCCTAAAGGTTTCTGAACACATATCTCCATGTATATTTATTTAGACAAGACATACCCTGTCTTTATCAACATCCCTTCCTCATTATCCGATTGTTGCACACACGAAAATAAATGTACAATTTATCCACATAAAACCATGAACAAAGACTTGTTAACTTTGAGGACAGTGTTAGTATACAAATCACTGGTAGGTTTACTGGAACTTACCTGGTCTGTGTGAAGAGGTCTCGGTCAATCTCGCGGTCTTACTTACCTGGTCTGTGTGGAGAGGCCTCTGTCAATCTCCCAGTCTTACTTACCTGGTCTGTGTGAAGAGGTCTCGGTCGATCTCGCGGTCTTGCTTACCTGGTCTGTGTGGAGAGGCCTCGGTCAATCTCCCAGTCTTACTTACCTGGTCTGTGTGAAGAGGCCTCTGTCAATCTCCCGGTCTTACTTACCTGGTCTGTGTGGAGAGGCCTCTGTCAATCTCCCGGTCTTACTTACCTGGTCTGTGTGAAGAGGTCTAGGTCAATCTCCCGGTCTTACTTACCTGGTCTGTGTGAAGAGGTCTTGGTCAATCTCCCAGTCTTACTTACCTGGTCTGTGTGAAGAGGTCTCGGTCAATCTCCCAGTCTAGGTGCTGACCAATCAGAACAAGCAGTCTCAGTAAGCTCCCCCAGGGGTCGGTCACCTGACTCTCGCGGTCGTACAAACCCGGGATCAACACAAACCGTTTACCTTTCTTAGTGGGTGACATCAGATCTACAAGGACAGAGAAATTTGACATTTGTTCAGCAAAGACAGCACACTAAGTTTCATTAAAGATAGTAATGTTTTACACCTTAATTACCAATAATCTGGGGTGGAAATATTACCAAACTGCCATCATGGCTGACTGAAGCCTTTTATAGTTAACATGATGAATTTGAAGACAGAGCAAAGTCTACAGCACACTAGGATTCATATGGTACATATATACATGTACCTATCAACCCATAAAGTTCCTATATATGTGCTGCAAATCATGGCAACCTGTACTCAGGAGTCTTTTACTGCCTAGCTCAGTGAAGACACAGTGGACTCTACATCCCATGATTGGTACATCCTGCCTTTTACCTTTTTATCTTCGGTCATTTCCATCTTTCCTTTATTTGAAAGAATTTCACTGGTAAATATGTAACATGATTTTATGAATTCTCGGCAAAAAATTGTGTGGAAGATAATGGTGAAATACTATATACTGGTCAATTTTCCCTCTTAACACATGAAATCAATTTTCGCCCAGTGTTAATTTCGCCCTTAACATTGAATTACCATGTTAATTATGCTGTTTACTTGTATTCCCTGTAATGAAAACTTTGCCCTCATTACGGAGGGCGAAATAGGCGAAAAATTAAACTGCAGCGAAAATGTCCCTGTATACAGCTACTTTGTTTATTACATTGCTGTCACAAACTCCATCTGTCCTTAAATGACCATAGCTGTTGATAGGACGTTAAACAATACTAAAGCAAACCAAAACCAAGTCACAAACTCCAAACAAGAGCCTTCAGTAATGATGATACCCAGAAATTGAACATTTATAAATAATATGTTAATACAGGTCACTTGTCTGGATTAAATATTGAGGAATCACAGGTTGATTACCTGTTACACAGGTACATTTTGACATTTACCTGGAGAAGGAGGTTGGTTGGAGGGTTGACAGGGCGCCTGTGTTATAAACATCACATGAAACTCAATAGCCTGCTGTAGCCATTTATACAACCGGGCAGGAGGAACATCCAGCTTCTTCACCTTCTGAAGGACCAACGGCAGCACATCACAAACTGGAAAACGACACAGATACCCGGGCTTATTGCGGTATAAATATGGTAATTGAAGTCAGTGTTGGTAAGTGAATGGTTAGCTTATCGTTGGCCTGGACCTATGATGAGCGTTCATTATTACCATCCAATTACAGCACTGATTTAGTTATTGAATTAAAGTTGTGCAGAGCATGATTATATTCATAATTTGCCACCGAAATAAAATAATGGCTGGAAGACAGCCAAAATTTTAATCCCATATTTTTTAGCATAACTTTTATGATGAAACTGCCTAACATGTTTGGTCACCAAAATAACCTGTTAAACAGTATTTTGTCAAATAAAAACTTGTTTAATTAAAATACAATCTTTTTCTCCTGAACACTCAAGGATATCAATAATGATGTAGATAACCCATAATTCATGACAATACATCTTATATTCACCATAAGTATTGGCACTGCCTCAGTGTAGAACAAGAGGTTATTGAGTACTTACCTAACAGCTTTCTGTAGCAGTTAACACCTGTCATGTAGGCAGCCTTCTTCTCTGCTCGCTGTAACTTGTCTATCAAAGTTAGCTATATAACAAACACAAATATATAGAGCCTTCATCTCTGCTTACTGTAACTTGTCTATCAAAGTTAGCTATATAACAAACACAAATATATAGATACAGCCTTCTTCTCTGCTCGCTGTAACTTGTCTATCAAAGTCAGCTGTATAACAAACATAAATATACACAGAGCCTTCTTCTCTGCTCGCTGTAACTTGTCTATCAAAGTTAGCTGTATAACAAACACAAATTTAAATACACAGCTTTATATCTCTATAGAATATTTACAAATATAAAACAAATAATGCTGATAGCTGCACATTGCAGATGACAGAGGAGCTAAACGAGATTTGAGAGCTGGTCAATTTTACCATTACACTACTGTGATTCCTAAGATCTTTATCAAAGACATCAGATAAATCTACTTGTATCATTCGAAAGGTGGCAAATACAAAGCCTTTGATTTTATAATGACATGTTCAGAAGTGACTATTGGGTAAGGTATATTATATATTATATTATATATACAAGATTACCCCGTGTTCATCAACAAGGCTGCCAAACTTCCTCATCATCAGCAGTAGATATATTATAAGTGAGATAAAAGATTACCCCGTGTTCATCAACAAGGCTGCCAAACTTCCTCATCATCAGCAGTAGATATATTATAAGTGAGATAAAAGATTACCCCGTGTTCATCAACAAGGCTGCCAAACTTCCTCATGGCCAGCAGTAGAAGTCGACACTGTTCCAGGGTGTCACTCATCTTATCAGCCACGTGTAGCAACATCTCACACTGAGAGTGGGTGGAAATAGCCGCGAAGATCTCTGTAACAAACACATAGGTTAGTTAAATACAAGCTCATACTCGCCAACTTTTTGAAATTTCCATGGCGGAGATTAGAGTTCTCAGAATTAAAAACATAAATAAAATGAGCGTATGTACACATTAGAGAAACAAACCACTTATAAATGGCATCTTTTGAGGTGTTCTTTCAGATGGAATCATCCGATCTTTGAAAATAAGAATAGTTTAGCAAATTCACTGGTAAAAAAAAAAATGCTAAATTTTAGGGCCCAAAATCAGGAGCCTCCAAAACAGTTACTATTTTCGACAGAGGTCAATTAAAAATGAAAATAATAGATATTTAAATTGAACACATTGAATATAGGACTCATCACATAATTATGCAGTCAACAAAAATAAATAAATACAATATTTACATCTAAATGTATTCTCCCTGTATTGAATGTTCTATAAAGTGTGAAATTTTACTTGATGTGTAATATCTCGCATAGATATTTCCAAACTTGCCGGGTTCCAATACACATAAACAAACTCACAAATGGCAGTACAAAATCTACTGTATTCGATCAACCTCGCATAACATTATAACAACACAAAATATGCTAGGGGAGTTCCTAATAGCTATAAGGTTTGACTAATGCCAGGAGACGAACAGACATAATATCCGGATTAGAGTCACTCGTTAATCAATATACATGTACTACATGATGTAATTAGTATTTGTTAAATTATAAAAATTAGACTTCTTGATAAATTTGCTCCCTTAATTAAGGGTGAAAATAGAACAGTGGTGAAAAATTCCAGTTTTACAGTAGAATATGCTTTCAAGTTGTCACTTATCTATTTAATCCTGCTCGGGTCAAAAAGCATCATGTACACATATATCTGTTGTTCCAGTCAATCTCAAGAGCAGAGCAGATATCTGTACCTGTCAGAAAACTGTTCCTGTTGTCGGAGATTTCTGACTGGAGCACTCCAAGAATTGCTTGAACTTCGGCCCACAGACGACTTTCTTCGGGAAATGCCAGAAACCTGAGTATTGTAGAAGATCACAGATGTTAGCAATACATCACACATGTATCTAAGACTGTACTAATTATTTAATATATATTTTCTTCATGTTATACACATTATGTTCTTTAGTAGTCCATGATCTCCGGAAGTATATAAATATATTACTATTACTATTGTGGCAGATTTTAATTGTACATATGATTACATAGGATTAAGGTCTACTTCTAGCTTCGAGCTTGAGGGAATACCCTTTACCTCAGTTGTAGAGCGTCTGACTAGGAACTTGGAGATTGAGGGTTCGGCTACCAGTGGAAGCACACTATTTTCTTTCCTATTACAAATGGTATCTATGGCCCTCCCTGTGGTGACGGGGAGTAAGGGCTGAACCTGGGTTGTGGTGTTGGACGAACACATTTAAAAAGTGGGGAGTAGTGTGGCAGATTTTAATTGTACATATGATTACAGTCTACTTCTAGCTTTGAGCTAGAGGGAATTTCCCTTTAGCTCAGTTGTAGAGCGTCCGACTAGGAACCTGGAGATCGAGGGTTCGGCTCCCAGTGGAAGCACACTATTTATTTCCTGTTACACTATATATACGGATATTGATAACTTACATTTCTTCCAGTAACTTTGCTGCTTCTTTGACATTTTTGCCGACTTTTTCCAGGTTATATGCCTCAAACTGAAATTAATGATAGAGTGTTATATTAATATTGTGTGAAAATTGACATTGAGTCAAACAAAAAAATATGCGTATTTCCTTCAACATATTAGAAAAAAATAATTATATGGTGTATATATAGGAGAAATCTTGATTTAAACAGTTCTTGACTAAAATGTTTAGGGTAGGCACTGCAACTTAGGGTAGGAAGCTTTACCAGAAAATACAAATAGTTTTTCTTTAATTTGATGTTTGATTTGCCATACATTATGCAGTATAGTTTTTGGTAGACTTCATGAAACATCGAAAACTGGTTGATTTTCAGTTGGTTGGACATTGTGCTGTCCTTGCCTCGGGATGACGCGCTAAATCCCTAGTGGGTATAGCGCCTATCACATGTCATGTACACTATTCTATGTCAGTATATTGTTTCTACGATAGGAAACAAAATTACTTGTATTAAAGTTCATGCCGTTAGATTATCAAGCTGGGCTGACGATCGGAAATCTGAACAGAGCCTGTCATTTTCTCAACCTTTTGTGACCTCGGCACTGAATGGCTTCTGAATTTAACGAACCAATCAGTGTTGAAGTCACAAAAACTGGACTCGGGTGTCCACTGTGAACTAAGTAAAAATTTCATCAATATTCAATAATTTAAGGTTAGTTACAGCATTTGTCCAGCAATAATTAAGCCCATGCTTTGTAATAAGCCCACCTATTTAATGCAGTTTAATATGCAGAAAGACCTGTAATAAGCCCATCCCTTACACCTTCAGTCAGAGATGCATTTGTCTCATGGAATAAGTGCAGAATATTAAAACACATGGAAAGTAACGTTGTTATTGGCTTATGATGATACCTGAATTGAAAAGTTTTGCGGGAACAAAGTTCTTGCTGTTATCATCCATGCTTTAGCTGCGAACGGGTCTGTTTTCATACACGATCGTGCACGTGAAACGAGCCAGTCTTCATCAGAAAGTTTCTGGCAAACTGCTGCCATATCTGGGCTAGTTATCGAGATAAAGTGCCAACATCAAATACAACTGTGTTTATCGAATACTGTAAGGGAACTCTTCACGTGGAGGGGAAAAACTTAAGAACGGAAACACTAATTACATTCTAAGTGTTAAAGTGAATCCAATTTCCGGATACTCGTAATTATATAAAGCATATTTAACCATTTTTGAGTGGTCATATATTTATTTACAACAGATTTGAACTTACAAAATGTATTGCATCATGATCTTTGTTGGCATATATCGTCTTACAAAACACAATGAAGATATTAGAGAAACAATCCGGATTAGGCTTGTGATTTAGTCTCTACCTAACCGGCAAGGTGCTTGAGTTGACAATCGATATTTATCACATAAATGATCGGTGTTTGTACAGTTTTTAGTCGACAGACATTCTCCCGCTGTTCTGCAATTACTTCAATATATTTCTCTAAAATGGTAAGACTGTATTTTAAGGTTGTTATTCCTGCATAACCGTAAAATATTGGTACACGGACACAGTACGTTCGATACAAACAGTGGGCAAATGCAGTCACATAGGTCAGGACCTGAAGAAAATTATCGGGGTGGGGGGGTTTCCTGAAGCCCAAAAAACCCCTCTGGATCCGCCACTGTCTAAACACATAATCGGTTACCCATTACAACACTTAATCGTTTGTTGTGTATGAGGCAAGCGAATCTGTAACAACCTAGAAAATGTGGGTTTTACTTTTCCTCTGTTGAAAAATATATAGGGCCTACAATAAAATTTATAAGTTATGATTGCACAGGGATGCTAAAATATATTCTTACATTAGTTTGTCTTTCACTTACCATGGTTTCCTTAATTATCAGTAGTTGTGATACATGGTCTTTTCTTAAAAATTCTAGCATACACCGGTACACAGAACGACTATAGGATAACACTTGAAACTCTGAAATATAGTATGACAAGAGGAGATAAATTAACATACATATAGTACAAACTTTCAGGGGTAGCGGCCATGAAAATATATCCTAGTCTGCTACAGATATTTCAACTTCTACCTTCACGAAAAAATAAGTATGCATGGTGAAGAGGTAATATGAAATGTGTTGAAATTAACTGCCAAATTTGTGTTGGACACACAACTTTAAGTTTAGTTATAATTGAAACACCTGTATACTTTGATATACTTTAAGGCCACTGAAGCTAAACGAGCCAAGTTGTCTGATGCAGAGAGACAGGATTTGTTGTCTCCCCTGAAGGGTGTTGGTTGGAGCATGGTGGAAGGGAGAGATGCCATCTACAAAGAATTTCTATTTAAAGATTTCAATGAGGTATACGTAATGATATTTACATGGCTCATTTGTAACATTGAACTTAATTAAGCTGTTTTTTTCTTTTTCTTTAAATGAGATATATGTTTGGAGACAAAAAGTAGCATGGTTCAGGGAAAACAGGAAATGAAATTCTTTTTAGCCTTATCATAAAAGACAAAAATATGTTCAGTTGTGCTCAAAGTTTTTGTCATTTCATATGTAGAATTATGAAAGAGGATAATAATCATATTTACCTACCGTGTATACCATATTAATTTCATTAAAGGCATGTATAAGTTTTGATTATTATTTCTTAGATATTATTATTTCTTAGATAAAATATATTTGTTTTTGTTAATGACTCGTATTAATACCTATTTTCTCTATACATTTCTCAGCTTATGGTTAGTTTTGATTATGTCATGACATGTTGTTCTCATCCCTTATCAGGCGTTTGGATTTATGACCAGAGTAGCACTGTTAGCTGACAAGATGGACCATCACCCAGAGTGGTTCAATGTCTACAACAAGGTGGGTAGAGCAGGTCAAATTCTTGGGTGAAAGGTCAGGTAAACAGATTGAAGATTTTGTGTAAATGTAGCTAATACATCTTTTCTCGGCTTGAGTCAGATCACGGTACTATTATTATTATTGGATGAAGCTAAGAGAAACTCACTCCAGCTGAGTCAGCAGCAAGATGCTACCCCATTTTGACATTAACATTCTTTTTCCCCCCACACTAAACCACACTAAAGATAGATGATATCACAACAGATAAATGTTAGAGAATGTTTTAGTAACTTTGATATGTCTTATATACACAGAAATGTTAATAAGTGTTAATAAGTGTTGGGGACCTGGAACCCTGGAAATTTTGTCATATATATAAATATGTCTTACGCACCTATCTATTGCCACTAATCTCTACATGCTTGGGACTTTAGGTTTAATATGGCTAACACTGTTTATCTCTAATTTGTTTTTTATCTGTGTATGTAGCTATAATTTATGCTTCATTGACTTCATTAAGAAGAATTGCTCTTATCTTCGTGTAAGCGGTTAAGAAGAATTGCTCTCATCTATGTCTTGCCTATGTCAACTGCTATATTGATTATATTTGCATCAATTGTGTATCTAGAGTTGCTCTACTGAATGCATATTGCGGATGCTGATTTTGACCTATATTTTACGCTTCATGTTTTGTATGACTTTTGCACTGCAAGCAGGGGACATCGATGACAGCGCCTTCTTGTTATAATTTGAAAACTTCACCCTTATGCGGTTTGACTAGCTTAGTGAACGTTAACACTGTTCAACAGATCAAGTAATAAGTCACTTGGGAAAGGACAATAATGGAATAAGTGTATACTATGTAATAAAAGGGAGGTAACTCATGTTGATTTCCCAGTGAAACTAACTTGTTTATTACCAATGTATCCTGTTTCAGGTCCAGGTGACACTCAGTACACATGATGTAGGTGGTCTGTCCTCACGGGATGTGAAACTGGCCAACTTCATGGAGAAGGCTGCAGGCAAATAGACCTGTCTGATGTAGACCAAACCGCTGTGGGCTGTTACACTACAGGGGATGTACATGATGTTAAGAGAAATCATCAAAAGTGATCATATTTTCCCTCAGGGCCATAATCTTACAAGGGGCACCACAAACTGATTTGTCTGACGGACATTTGTCCACCTACATAATCTTACAAGGGGTACCACAAACTGATTTGTCTAACGGACTTTTGTCCACCTACATAATCTTACAAGGGGTACCACAAACTGATTTGTCTAACGGACTTTTGTCCACCTACATAATCTTACAAGGGGAACCACAAACTGATTTGTCTGACGGACATTTGTTCACCTACATAATCTTACAAGGGGCACCACAAACTGATTTGTCTGTCGGACATTTGTCCACCTACATAATCTTACAAGGGGTACCACAAACTGATTTGTCTAACGGACTTTTGTCCACCTACATAATCTTACAAGGGGCAACACAAACTGATTTGGTTGACGGACATTTGTCCACCTACATAATCTTTCCAGGCCGTGGCCCATCTACGGTACCAGTATTCATCTTGGGTATCAGAGCAGTATGCAGAGGTATACATTTGTAGAAAGGTTATAACAGGGTTTATACCACTAATAGTCATAAAATAGGTATGAGGGTTTTTTTTTGGCTTCTATTTCTCTTCAGATTTATGTATGATACTGGGAAACTATTTGGCAAAATTGCAAAAAAATAAAATTTATTTAAAAAAAAGCCAGTTTCTAACTTGTGTTTAACTTTTGATACCCTGCTATACGCTAATGAATCATGATCTCATGATCATCTTATGAGCTGTTATGGTGGAACAGAATTGTTTTCTAGATTCCAGCTTTATTTCGGTCATCGTGTACATGTTCGGAGGTTTCTGGCCCACGGTGGTGTGGTGTTTCCTTCCTGCCTTAGATAGACATTGTAACGTGTATCTACGGTTATAGTACTCTCTACATTCCAATATTTACGGAAGATGACTTACTAAACATCGGATCCCTGTGTTAACGTTATTAGTGTGGTTTTAATATTGTGTACATTAATATATATTTGACAGAATCGGTTATTTATCAGAGTTTTATTATGGTGATGTTTTTTGGTTTCTTTATATTCCCTCTGACATACAGCTTATGACACAAAATAAGATTTTTTTTAAACTTTTGTAGAAATTATATCTTACATTGATCTGCAATGCACAACAATGTAACAATATAATAAAAAAATGATTATAGATGAAAAATTAATGTCATTTTCATCACACAGAATGTACTATTGCTAGTAGTGTACATGAGTATAAGATTATCAAAGCCGTATGAAGTGAAATTGTGTGAAATTATAAATTTTGAGTATGTGTCTGTTTTAATTGTATATCAGATCAGGAATAACTTGTGTTCATATAGCGAATGAGCAGGTACTTGTATTTAACCAGTATATCAATACCCATTATATTTGTTTTATTGTTTTTAGTGGATTTCACTTATAATGTTATGTTGCGTAATGTTGCATAATATCATAATTTTGTTTAAAAGTAAAACCCTATTAATCTTGACATATTAATGTAACCTACTTTTTTTTATGTCATATTATGTGACATAAACAACTCTTTATAACATGGTTTATTATCATTTGTCTATTAGAACACAAAATAAAATGTCATTAAAATTTAAACTTTCAAAAACATTTCTTTTTCTACAATGATGATGTTTTTCATCTTGATGAGGTGTAAAAAACTGTAGACTTAACCAAAAATATGACCAATGACCTAGATTTGTTATATGATGTGATATAAATTCTAATTATTAAAATGTTACATATCCTCATGGCTATACACTTTAAAATTATATTAGAAGTGATATAGTTTCAGAGAAAAGCAGTGTTTCTGTTAACGACACACTTCTGTTTATATCATATCATCCTCTGACACATGACAATAAGGGGAATGCACTAAGTCTATATCGTTTCACCTTTAATAGATTAAGTATCCATACATATGAGTATGCTTTGCTTTCAAAACCTATGTAATACTAGGTAAATCATATTCATATGTGAATGTTTTGACACCAAATATGTTCACAAAAAATAACATTGATGGTTGTGATATAATCTCAAATGTCATAATTATATACCTGTCATTGTATAATGACTCTGAAATTAATTAAGTTTAATAATATAAACTGTGCCAAAAAGTTACCATCATAGCTGATACTGCCCAAAAAGTGCTGCCTTAACATGGATATATAATTTGATATTTAGATTTTTTTTTATCTTTTTGAATTTTTGTGTGAAAACTAGTCTCATCTTTTATATACATTGTAACATTGTATACCTGGTAGTATTATTTTTGTTAGAAATGTTTTTTGTAGTAGCTTTGATTTATTATATTTTCTTATAAATATACACAAAACACTGGACCCATTTTGTAAAATGTTCAATCTCTAGAAAATTCCTACAAAATTAAATATTCATTTGAAAAGATAATATATGAAGGACGACCGATTTTTAATGAAAAATAATTAAAGTCTATTCTTTAAAACTTAAAAGTTATACATGTATGTATACTACTTCCACTGAAGATGCATTACATTAGTAAACAGAAATATCCTCAATTATGTTGAAGTATTTGAGAACATTGAAGACTGCTGTATTGTTGAGAAGTCATTATACTTACTGGTGTATGTTATGTAGAATGTAAACCAAGTGTGTGGTGGAATAAAATGGTAAAAAAGTGTTTATTGTTTGTCTTTTTTTTACCCCCCACCAACAAGTTATATTTCATTTAAGGATCCCTGTCCCACTGCAGACAAGACACTAGGTAGTTCTACTTTAGATTTCCGTATACACAGTAAGCTCCCCTAATTTTAATTTTGCATGTAGTTGTTTATACATGTAACTGTTGTACTAATGGGCCAGGGTCCTACCACTGACCAGGTAACTTGGTTGATCATAGTGGTAGTATAACAATCAGAGGTCCGGGGTTTTAATCCTGGGCCCGTATTCATGAAACCGTTCTCATGCTCAAGCATGGGTTTTGTGCTCAAGCCGAATTTCTTGTTTTTGTTGTAAATTAATAAAAAAAAAAAAATGTCAATGGTTTAGAAAAAGATTAAAGAGACTTAAGCCCGAAAACTGTTTACAATGTTTACTTTTGACTTTTTGATCGTTTGACATGATTTAAGTGAGTTACAAGAAAATTGCTTTGAGCACAAAATCAATATGGTTTCATGAATACGGGCCCTGGTCTTGCCCTATCGCACCAACTTGCTTATTGTTTTTCGTAAAGTCCACATGGCATGATTTTCTTTTAAAAATGATAATCAGTTATTTGTCATGCTGGAAAAAAATTCATGTATGATAACAGATTTGGCAGTGGTGCAGGAATCCTTAATGTTATACATGTACCTGCTCTGCTGCCTTTCTGGAGTCCCTGGTTTTGATTCCTGTTAAGAGTTCCTCGTGAAGTGACCTATTGGGATCATCTGTACATGTCTGCAGCATGTGTTGGCATTCACTGAGAATTAGGTGCAATAACTGTTGGTTAGCATGGAACATCATCCAAACTAATATTTATCCTGTTAATTTCCCACTGAAGTTTGATTTTAAGGCAGAGACTGCCCTAAGATCATCTTAGAATTTGGCACCTCATCTTGTTTATTTAAAAGCTCTTCAAGAAATTCCTTGATTTTCATGAAACTTCTGCTAATTTGGAGTTCCAATTACCCACAGGTTTCATTTGGAGCCAGATCGAAAGACTGCCTGAGAAAATCGTGAATTTTGGCACCTAAAGCTGACTATGTGCAAGCTCTTCAAGAAATCCTCATTTCAGGAAACTTTCTAAACATAATTATAGTGCCAATGTGCCACTTCAATTTGATTCCGAACAGGATCTGAAATACAATAGGACTCACTCTAGCGACCACCATTATCTCCATGTCGGGCCAAATTCACAAATATCTAAGCTACTGTGATCTTATCATAACACAACAGAATATATGAACCAAGTATTAGTCCTTTATTGTGTATATTGTATTAGGATTCGGCCATCATTTCTCCTTAACTGGTACAGGCGAACATCCACTTCCGTGCCATTTGTTTTTAAGGTGTTTATTGTGATGGTTTCCCATGTGTTGTCGCTAAGATCCTGTTATCTTTCCACAGGTTCTGATGAGTTTGGATTTTATTGCATGTTTACACTACTGACTTGCATAAATATTTTTCTAATTTTACCAATGCATACTGGCCAACCTTATAAAATTTCAAAGGGGGAGGGGGTGAGAGATTGTGCATGCTGAAATTTCAAAAAACAAATGTGTGTATTGCACACATTTTTACTAAACGGAATGAGAAACGTATTTTCAACACTTTACATACTCTTGCATATCACAGCGGCCGATATATGCATAAATCTACAAATCAAAACCAAACAAATCAATACCAATATCATCCTTTATTGATCAGAGTGTAACATTTTACATTCACACTATAATTTACCTTGATGATTCCTCAATATAATAGTAGTTATATCTCTGCACACTCACACACAAAAAAGTTTATGAGGAAATAAAACGATTCTTTGAAAGACTTATAAACATGAATACAATTTACACTGTTATACAAAAACTACATTGTTATTTAATCCAATTGCACTTTTTTAACACTAAATAAACAAATGTTTTAAAACATTAATAGAAAGAATAAATTATGCATTAAATTAAACAGTTTTTAAGTGACATCTTTTCTATGGTTACATTATAAGACCATAAGCCTAAAATATACAGTTTTGATTTTGTAAAATTGTGGAAAGTTACTTTCCTGCAATTTTTAATTACTTTATCAGAAATATTCGCTTTCATATTGAATTAGTGATTTTTTTCTCTCTCTGAAAATGACCCACTTAAATGATCTAGGAAAAAGTTTGCAGTTTTTAAAGTTTTTATTTTCATTCTAAAAGGTTATATCCTTAATATATTTATACAACTCATAAGGACCAGATGAGCAAAAATAACGGATTTTATGAAAATGAAGAGAACACTGTGATGTAATAGAAATAGTAAACAGAAAATTTATTGAACCATGATTGTGTAAAAATGTATAAATTATTGAGTATGAGGTCAGTAATGCTAAACCATTGTTCCAAAAATAGTATTTGCTCTAAATATTTTGCATGGTTAGAATATCAATGAACACATTTGATTCATTTTCATTTTTTATTTAACCCTTTCACCACTGTAGACCATTATTGCATAATGGACTTTTCCAGATCAATGCACGGGAGAGTCTACTAATGTTGCATAGGGGTGAAAGGGTTTAACGACCTCAGAATTTATCTCGCTCCTCGAGGTGCTCCACTAGGATTGTCAGTGGTGCGAGGTTGAGGACAGCAGCTTTAATTGGTTGCGTTAATCAAAGTTGCATTGTTTGTTGTTTTACTGGAACACATAGATATATTTATTCCAAATTTCTTTTCCCCTAAACTTCTTATTTAGATCAATTTATCTGGTCAGGTTAGGGTAAAAGAAATCTGACTAGAAAATACTGCTTGATAAGTTGAATATTCTGTGACAAATATACATGTGCACGTTAGTTTATGCAAATTAGTTTTACCGATAAGCAAATAATTACTTGCGATCCTCCATTCATACTGTACACTGAGAAATAGCCCAAGCAGTTTACCAGAACTTTAACCACTTCATCCCCATGTAAATTGAGTAGACTCAACTGTGCATTAATCTGGGTAAGCCTATTATAGTTTACAGTGGTGAAAGGGTTAATTTATGCACGCAGTTTACTATACATAGTGTGTGCATTGTGAAATATGAAATAGGAAGAAAAATATTTTCCCCTATTCAATATTTACGAAAGCTTGACAACCACACAAAGTTTGTAGAGAAAACTCCTGTGATACAACAGATATAAGCTTATTTGCTTTTTACAGTAAAATGTTCCAGCAAACTTTCTGTCAAATGGCAAGTACAATGATGATATACAGTGGAACTTAGGTTTCAGGAATAACTTTAGAACAAGTACATTAATTGAGTTAGTTGAACATTATTTAAACTTTACATTTGTCAAGAACGTAAAGACTTTATCAGAATTTGAATCAATCAGAAAACAACATACATATGTCTGCTAAAAAATACATCACTGTAAAAATGTATGTTAACACAATTGACAATATCTATGATTAAGTGTGAAAAACACATGTTACTTTGTTTATGCTTCATTAAATACCAATTGTCCTTTGTTTTTTTTAACAACAATTTTACAACTTACAGTATGCTGTAAATGTAAAGTCAAAGTTGAACATAATCATTTATCAACCCCCCTAATAAGTTAAAATTTATCACGACAGTGAATATTGGAATATTATATACCATATTTAGTAGTTACTCGCAAAGGTCTAAATCAAGTTAACACTCGGCAAACACCGACTTTACCAGAGGAAGGAAAATGTTTTTGTTCTGGGTGAAAGTTTCCCGATATACAGAATTGAGGATAAAAGCTATGATTTAATTCCACTTTGTTTTTGGTGATCTCGTACAAGTATTTAACGGTCTATGTTGAGTGTATTACACGTTACACACTGTGAATGTTTTTACATAACTATCCTAACACGAAAAAGTAACCTCTCCATTAAATATTGTTGCATACATTGTGTGAATCAGTTTCAGAGCTGGCAAATATAACATCAATGCCAAACATGTGGGTGAAATTGAGTAATATCCAGAAAAAATATCCACAAAGTGAAGTATAAACAGACTGCATTAAAATACTTCTGTAGCCATTATATGCGCCCCCCCCCCCCTCTTCCCATGCCAAAAAAATATATCAGAAGATGAAATAAGGACTATATTTCAACAATACAATGAAAACTTGCACAGAATAACAACATTTATATCACTCATAATAAAACTTATACTAGACAATCCTCTTTTATAAACATATATGGTACACAAAGTCTTTGTCATGAACGACAAACCATTACATGGAAGTTTCATCTTTGACAAAATCTGTGACAAAGACAAACTTACATGCTACAACTTAGACAAAATCTGTGACAAAGACAAACTTTGTTACCTCTTCGACAAAGTTCATCATGAAAGACAACAAAATATCACAAAAGACTAAACTTTATGTTACATCTTAGACAGAATGTATCACAAAAGACTAAACTTAATGTTACATCTTAGACAGAATGTATCACAAAAGACTAAACTTTATGTTACATCTAAGACAGAATGTATCACAAAAGACTAAACTTTATGTTACATCTTAGACAGAATGTATCACAAAAGACAAACCCTCAATTGCAGTTTAGACAAATTCTGTTACAAAGGACAAAACTTCAAGTTACATCCGAAACAAAGTCCATCTTGAAAGACTTTGTTACATATTAAGACAAAATCTGTCTTGAAAGACCAACCCTAGTGTTACATGTTAGACAAAATCTGTCTTGAAAGACGAACCCTAATGTTACATGTTAGACAAAAACTTGTTACAAAAGACAAAAGTTTGTCTGACATATGGTAGACACAATATCATGTCTGATAGAAAAATCTCATCAGTCAGGATTTAAACAAAGACAAACCTTCATGTTACGTTGTTAAAGTAGCCGTATATNTAAAATGTTAACGGACGACGGACGACGGACGACGACGGACGAAAACGGATAGCAATAGGTCACTTGAGCTAAAGCTCAGGTGACCTAAAAAGGCAAAACATCACATCTGTCACACGGTAATCCTATCTCGGGTCCCATGTCACAAAACATTATCACATGTAGAAAGAATCTCATCTGTAACAACATAAGATAAATTCAAACTTTCCACAGCTTTTCCCATTACAATCGTACTGCATAAAATAAAGGAATGAACATTATTTTTATTGATTTTGACTCGTTAAACAAATAAATGCTCATAGCACTGGATTCAACACTTTATAATCGTTGTTAAATCACTAACTTTCCCTTCAACATCAAATCTTCAAAAATTAACAGCATTAAACAGTCACTCAACTTTCAACTTCTGAAAACAACAAACTTTCAACTTCTGAAAACAATAAACTTTTAACTTCTGAAAACAAATGACTTCAAAAATAAAATTATAACTACAGAATTTTTATGTTATCTTTTTTTGCCATTTTCCTGCAAAAAAAGATGAAAAAATGCTTTATCAAATTCATTTTCATCATCATTTTCCCCCCTATTTTACAGTATTAGCAGAAATTGAACATATATAATAAAAAGTAGAAATATATACGTTTGTTTCTAGATTCGATGAAAAGACAAAATTTATAAATCTTTAAAATTTTGAAGAATTTATATCTTTCGTGAAAATCATTTTCAGATATAATTACAATCAATAATGAAGCATCATCTCAATTGTGAATTGACTTGTTTGCTGATACAGGCATAGTTCATGTAACTTAGTAGATGCAAAAAGTAATGTACAGTATAAATCTGAGCTGTTTTTCATTTGAATCAGGAATATACAACACACTTTACTTCTTTAATATCTTAAGTCAAAATGATACACAAACCAGGTATCAAAGTTAACAGTCGCAGAGGAAAGTTTCTCTTAAATCATAAAACACTAAATGTGTTATTTACAATATATGGATAACATTCATAAGAACTTTACATAGAAAACACACTCTCTTTTATTACACTTACTCGCTCTAGTTCAAGTTCTATTTCGTGTGTAATGTTAAATGTATCACCATAGAGACACAGGCACCAACATTATAAACAAACACGTCTTTTATACAATTTGGCAACAAACACGATATCCTACTATTGTTGTCATTGATCGAACATTTAAAGGAGCTGACCGAAGAAATTCTTTCACTTTACAATTTTCATCCTTTTCCACAATTTTTGATATAGCAGAATGAAGAAATCTTTGAAAAAAATCAGACAAGCACAGTACAAATGCTGTCTGATAGTGTTATAGATGTTTGTACAGCAACATGACATGATGGCACAGGAGAGTACAAAAATAAATCTCACAATGTAATCTTAAACATAGTTTCATATGCCATTAAATTTCTAAAGAATTGAAATTATGTTAGAATTGAACAATGATAAAAGAATTCTGTCGCTTTCTATGAAACAATTGAAAAATGATTGAAGATTTCCTTGTCGTTTTCTGTGAAACAAGTTATAAGCAATATTTACAGTGCAATATGAATCATCGAAAACGTGAGTATATAAATTAACAGAATCATTTATAAATTTAAAAAAAATTAAAACACAGACAGCATTAATATAACTATAGAAGTTCAGAGCATCCTTTGTGCTGATACTAATGTTTTCATCAACTTCATTGTCCCTTACACTTTTTTTGACAAATTCTTCATGTACTGAAGCAAAAACGCATATCAATTCAAGTACATGGTGGAAATTTTAATGCTGTTCCATCAACAAAATTTGTGTGTTTTTATTCAATTTGTGATTTATTTTTAAATCTCTATTTGTAGGTCTGTATAGTGAACATGTCACCAGCTCCACTAAATCTGTAAATCTCACCTACTTTGCTAGTCTATTAAAATCTCGCCTATTTCACTACTTGGGTCAAAATCTCATCTACTCTTCTAGTTAATAACCAGCCTTAAAATCATCTACTGGTACTTAAGTTAACTACTGTGTTAAAACTGGATCACAAATTCTGCATTTGTGAAATGAAGGATACCAATACTGTGTGGTAATACATTACGTTTCCAAGTCCCAGGAAATGTTATTACTGAAAGTGAGTTTCTTCAATAGCAACCCGTTTTCAAATTTTAATTTCAATTATGTTTATGTTGTATTTCATGTCAAAACTCTTTGTCCACAGAACACTTTATATTGTATAGAACAGTTAAATAAAATTTCATAAAATTATCAGTCAAGTGTAGTCTTAAAAATGAGACCAAATAACAACAAGGCCTGTCTGTAAGACATAGCACCTTGGAACATCACTACAACAGCACACGGTCAATTTCCAACAAAGGCTCATCAATTGTAAACAAAAACATTTTTACAAATAAGAATTGTTTTTTAAAATGTAATAATGATCTGGTATTTCCCCCGAAATTTTTTCACCCAGTATAGATTTTTTTACAGATGTACACATCATACCCACAATGTGAAAACATGTACCTTGTTTTTAATTTATACCTACATTGTGTATATTGTCAACGGTAATCAAACATCGTTGAGCAGTATACTTCTACACTAGAGCCACAGTGATGATAGCTTTTCACCATTCAACCATCAGCCAAGTATATAACTATTGTTTGAACCTGTTCCTCCTGCAATCTAATTAAAATTATATCTTCACATCGCTCCCGTTTACTGATATGTCGCGTTGAAGATCTAACAACATCCCGTAGAGGGTCACGTCAGAGGTCAACATGAATACATTATCGTATTTATAACAAGCCAATCAAAACGCGACATAACTCTTTTTCGTCTGGTCCAGTGATTGTTTGAATATTGCGAAGCCTGTCATCGGTTAATTTTAGTTTCAGGTTGTTAAACTTTTAAACGACAACATCACCAGAAGAGGAAGTCTCTGTTATGTCAAAGCAAAATCCACAAATTGTACAAACGTTGTCTTGTAGATAGACACGGCGTGGTGTCATGGGTGCCGCCATTTTGGATGCTCATTTGACACCTCTCGGTCTTTTATCATAGCAAGAGTGTTCCGAAATCATTACATCATCACTTACAGAAATGCGTAAGCTCTCGTCCGATTGGTTAATGCAAAGGTCGCCTGAACATGACCCTCTACGGGATGTTGTTAGATCATCAGTAAACGGGAGCGATGTGAAGATATAATTTTAATGAGATTGTTCCTCCTGTATCAGAATTACAATTATTGTAGCAATATTTCACAATGAACTATTCCAACCTATGAATTGAAAGGGTTCAAATGTGTCTTCAGTGGTGAATGAGTTATTGGGAAATCAGAAATCAGTACAAAGATGGTAGGGATTTAAAATACTGCAATGTGTTCAGCCTTTTATTTTTGGTTAAGGGGGTTGGGCAGTATAATTGGTGCCAAAATTCACCCCTTTTCCTATTAAAGATTTCAATATGTATTTTTTTTTCCTATTAAAGATTTCAATATGTATTTTTTTTCCGAAGATTTGAAAAAATAAAAAAAATAAATAAAATGAAATCCCCAGAAAATCAGTTCCAGTTAGAAACAACTTAAAAACGTGATCAAACCATCTATTTGGTCCCACTATAGAACGTGAATGTAAGTTTTACCCGTTTAGCTAAACAATCTGATTATTTCAAACAACATTTGGTCCATATTATCTTGTTGAGAGGTCTCATTCTAGATAGTATGTGGGTGGTACTTGTATTTGATGACACATGGGAGGTGGGATCAATATAATTTACATTTGTACAGTGGTCCCAAGGAAAATATTGTTGGTGTTGGTAGTCACAAAAATAAATCAATATTTTTCTGGAATAGTTCATTTACAAAATTTTGGTAAATTGTCATGGGTACTTCTGATATTTCTGTTTTTCTGTGACATAAATCTATTTATCTTAAATGTAATTTATCTTAAAACTGCTGCAATTCTTTTCATATTTCACACATGTGTTCAATGGTGTATATATATAGGTTCCCTAATGACTGTTGGTTGGTTATCATATTAAATCAACCATCATGAGTTTGGGGACTTTTTCCTCCCTCAACACTCGGATATAATATCTAGGAAACCATAGGTTTCTCATGAGATAACATTATTCCTGTTTCCGATTGGGGAAACAATTTCCATGAACTGTGATGTCACAATGGAAGAAGATGATGTAACAAAGCATTGTTATTCGATGTCACAATTAGAAGATTGACCAATGAAATAATATCCAGGGTGTTACCCACTAGTGGGTTACTGAATATGTTTACCAACACCTAGCAGGTTTATCCACTGAATTGGGGGTGAGGAAACCTATAACAGTTGTGGGAGACAAAGACAACCTTATATAAAGTGGATCGAGTTGTAAACATGTATTAACTGAAATAGTATACATTAATCACAATTCTCTTGTACTAACTGTGTTACAGCTTTGTTCAATTATTTCTCTTGCTTCCATTGATAATTTTCATTTCTCAAATGACAAATGGCAAGAATGGACTCTTGTTTAATTGTTAACTTGTCAAGATCTGTCTTGAGTATACATAAAACCTTTTCCCACTTTGTTAAATGTAATTTAATTTGCAGAAGAAAAAAGGAAAATAAAACTTTCCTTTTGATGTTACGGAACAGAGGTGAGGATTTCCTCTGATACGACTAGATGTTTATCTCTGGGCCTTGACTCTCCATCTCAGTACGAAGTAGCAGCCCACACGGAGGATGACGAAGAAAACACACAGCACAATGAAGTCCACGTAGAAGCTAGCTCCCTCCACGTCCATCTCCTTCAGGATCATATCTGGCTTGTTAAACATACATATCTGTTTGTCACAGTCCAGCGACTCCCGGCCATTACCATAAATAGCCTGTAGCACACCCTCAAATGAATACCTGTAATGGGATCACAATAGAAAATTAAAGGAATTTGATCATTCTTATACTGAATTAATGGATCAATCAACAGTCAATCACTATCGAGGAAGTGGTTATTACTGAATTAATGGATCAATCAACAGCCAATCACTATCGAGGAAGTGGTTATTACTGAATTAATGGATCATGCTACTATCTCTCCCGCCCACTCCAAAATCAACAACCTCATCCTATCAAATCTTGTTTGGTTTTAAATTTGTTAATACTTTGGAAGTCACACTGTTGACTACTGATATTATCAAACCAACCTTACAGCCACTCCTCTACCCAGCCATCATTAGACTGAATGTCCAGTGTTTGGATAAAATAAAACCTGAAATGTCTGTAAATCTCAAAATGTTTGTAATAACGAAGTTGAGCTGTAGCAGGGTTCTGTCCTGTTTACTTACCCTATATAAGATATATAGGACAACCACTGCAGATACGCTGGTATGGTCTCAAAGTTAACGAAGAAACCGCTAAATAGCAGGACAGGTATCGCTGTCACTGGTCCCAGGAATACAGCCACCTACATCATACAACAGAAAATAACGGTGTCGTCTAAACAAAATATCACTACACCATCTAAATCATATAACAGAAAATAATGGTGTCATCTAGATTAAATATCACAACATCATTTACATCATTCAACAGAAAATAATGGTGTCGTCTAAACTAAATATCACTACACCATCTAATAACAGTGTCATCTAAATTAAAAATCACTACACCATCTAAATCATATGACAGAAAATAATGGTGTCTTCTAAACTAAATATCCCTACACCATCTAATAAGGGTCATATAAAATAAATATCACTACACTATCTAATAACAGTGTCGTCTAAACTAAATATCACTACACCATCTACATCAAACAATAGAAAATTACAGTGTCATCTAAGCTCAATATTACTACTGAAAAAGATACCTATACCTTACTACAAAACAGTAAATTTAAAGTAATTCATAAAGTTCTGATAGTAATCAACCCAGGCAAGCTAAATTTGGATTCAAATATTTGTATTGCAATATTACTGCCCATTCCATTTATTTGAACCAGCATCAACTCAAAATGTCTGCATGTCTCTCAATATAATTATATTTTGTATACAATGTTAAATTCCTAAGTACCAGCATATAACAAACACAGACTTTGATACTTTTGAAAAGGGTTAAACCAGGTGCCACAAGTTGTGATACCTAGTTTAACCCTTTCACCCCTATGTAACTTTAGTAGACTCTACCATGCATTGATCTGGATGAGTCCATTATGGTCTACAGTAGAGAAAGGGTTAAACAATTTATCCGACACTCACCTGTAAAGATGTTGCCGCCCCTATCAGTAGGCCTAGAGACTGGGCAACAAGTGAGGTCTGTGTGGCTAACGTCAGGAACATCACAAACCGCGTGAAGTCATTTGGTTGTGATGTCATCCAGTATACTATACTACCATACACAAGTGGGAAAATTATCTGTGAAGGAATTAAAACATATATTACTATACACAAGTGGGAAAATTATCTGTAAAGGAATTCAAACATAACTGTATCAGTCATTATTTTTTCCAATGCCTCCGCCGGGAGTCGAACCCGGGACCTCTGGTTTACTAGTCTTTCGCTCTACAAAATGAGCTAAAAAGGAATTCTCTCTAGCCGTGTCGGTAGGAAGCGGCTAGTATTTTACCAAGGTGACATACTACTATATACAAGTGACAACTACAGTACACAATTATCTGAAAAGGAATTCAAACATATTCTACTATACACAATAAAAGAGATGATCTGTATCGGAATTTAAAAATATATTTTGCTATACAAAAGCAGCATAATTACCTGTAAAGGAATTCCAACATATATCTTATATGCCAGGGGTTAAATTTTCTGTCAAAGAATTCAAATGTATAGACTACACAAGCAGTAAAATTATCTGTGAATGAAATGAAGAACTTATTTTGTGAGCGTTGCTGTAGATCCTTACCTGGAATGGCAAATCAGCCATAGTTTTAGCCAGGTAGTAGGCCTTGACACTGTACCAGTAGTTTAAATGTTCCCGCACAAACACCGCCATCTCCAACGGGACTATAACAGACAATAGACTACAATAACATACAGCAGACAATTCAGTGACCCACTGTTAACACCAGATGGACTATAACAGACAATAGACTACAATTACATACAGCAGACAATTCAGTGACCCACTGTTAACACCAGAGGGACTATAACAGACAATAGACTACAATTACATACAGCAGACAATTCAGTGACCCACTGTTAACACCAGAGGGACTATAACAGACA